AAATACTTAAATTTGACAGTTAGAAGAGCAGAGGTTAAGAGGTACAGGTTCTGCTCCCGAGATATTCTAAAAATATAAAACAATCATTTCAAAGTAAAGATAAAACATCTGATTACAGGGGCCCATTTCATAATAAACTACAAGTTACAAGTTACAGCTTGTAACTTGTAATTTCCATTAGATTTGCATTGGGCGATCAGCTGATTTACTAATAATATTAGTTTGTACTTTATTATGAAATGGGCCCCAGATAATAAGGTTTTGGGGTTTGGTTAAGAGGCTATATAAAATAGATTTAACATATTTACACAGTAAAGACTAAAAACTAGAAAATAATTTATAAATAAAAATACTTTTTTTAAAATGCCACGTTTTTAAACGCACTAAAAAGTATAAAATCATTTATAAAATGTTGAGAGAATAAATACTTGTAAGATTTAAAACGAAACACGTGGGGCGCATGCAATAGATCATATTAGTTCAATAGGTGAAGTTAATTGTAAATCAGCATGCGCCCCACGTTTTTCGCTTTAAATCTTACAAGTATTTATTCTCTCAACATTTTATAAATGATTTTATACTTTTTAGTGCGTTTAAAAACGTTGCATTTTTAAAAAGTATTTTTATTTATAAATTATTTTAATAACATATTGTACATTTCTGGTATTATATCTATTACTGGTAGGCCTACTTGGTTCTAACTGTATTTTTGGTAAATGGTGCTTGTATATTCCTACTCATTTTTACTGATCCCTTCAGTTAGGTAGTTTTTTAAGTCCCTGATAAGTTATACAAGCTGGGATGGTGTAGTCAACTGATGCATGTGGGCCTTTTTAAATCAGTGGGTAACTCACAAAACAGATCATATCTTGACTAATTAAATATGATTACCCAAGCGTATGTGTAACTAGTGGGGAAGTGGCATTTTTCTGCACACGAGAGAAATATTTACGCACAAGCCGTAGGCGAGTGTGGAAAGTTTCTCAAATGTAGCAACAAAGGCAGTTTGCACTCGCGTTACACATTATATTTGTCCTACAGTTACTATAAAGTAGATAAATAATTAGTCTTTCAAACACTGTACAACACGTTTAGGAAATGGGAAACGTTACACCAGCTAATCATAGTCGTAATATCTTTCAATATTCCCAACTTATTTTTAAGCATATTATGTTCCTAATAAAAGCATGCTGTTTTGTGTTGTTTGGTTGGAATAGTCAGGTGTTGATAGTAAAATAACTATTTTGACCACAAGGAAAACATATTTGATCCTGACATTCATCGCCAGATGACTGAAGTTTATGGCCCTAATGCAATATGTGGGGGTGGGTCAGGGACTGTAAAAATATGTTTCCTGTGGTCTTCTGTGAGAAGTATGCGTGCCCACCAAAAACGCAATTTCTTCCTACATTGACATTTTAACAACCATTTTTAAGCTCCTTAAAACACCTTCTGCACTTTACGCTCTCCTTGCACAAGCATGAGCTCCTCAAATGAGCCATAAACTTCACTGACGATGAGAGTCTACACCGATATGTTTCTTGCAGTTCAAAAACATACCACTGACCTTATTTTGCATGAGGTGGGAGATTTAATAAAAATAAAAAAAATCTAGACACACCAAAGTGTAAAATGTAAGCTATAATGACAGAACTGCAGATGGTGCCGTTCTGTTCAAAATATGCCAATAAGCAGAGAGGACCCTCGTTGCGGGCACAATACCCACAAATGGCCCCAACATAAAAAACGGTCCTCGCACTAATATTCAACTTCTCATCAATTGTCTGGGTAGCCAAGTGGTTAAGATCACTTTCAAATGTGAAGGGTCACTTGTTTCCGACGCCACTTGGGTTATCAATTAATTATCTAACAAAATATCAGTTAGTGACAAGACCCGAGTTTGGACCTTTCCCTTACAGAAACGTAAAAAAACCCTAAATCAAGATAAATGATCATATATGCAAAGAAGCATAAATAAAAATCCCTAATAATTACTTGCAAATTAAAATTACACTACAGTTGACTCCCTCTTATCCGGACTCCTCGGGACCGAGTCCAGTCCGGATAACGGGGTTATTGTATTTAGACACGTGATCACTGATCTCAAATCTTTCCCACGAGAACAGTCGTTTCAGTACCGCCCACTTCCTGCCGATCTAGTCCGGTTAAACCGATGCGCTGATCAAAATTGTCCGGTTAAAGAGTTGTCATTTCCACCGAGTGTAGTCCGGTTAAGAGGGAGTCTACTTTACTTCTGCACAGTTTTAAAGCGAAACATCTGAGAACTAATTAAAATATGAATAAGTTAAACATCAAATCAAATCATTCTTTATTCATTATACATAAAATAACATGTATTGAATAGAGTCAAATAGGCTATAAATACATATATCTACATATTACAAAGTGCTTAAAATATACTATTAAGATAAGTGAAGAATTTCTAATTGAATATATTAAAAATATAACACTATTGCAATCACAATAACATTAGCAGTTATTAAAATAAAAAACATATACCCATTTTCCGGGCTTAGGTAAAAATAAACACAGAAAAGAAAAAGTATTACTAATCATTGTGAAAATTTAAATTGTTCCCCTAATTTTGCTATGGAGTTCAAATTATGTAAGCTACTAATTTTTATTTTAGTCACACATCAATTAAACTTAGACTGACCGATGAAATGACAAGATAGATTTTTGTGCTATAGAATATTTCAAGCAAATCATTAGATAAGGAAAAATAAAAAATATAAAGTGACACTTTGGATCAAGCTAAGCAGGATATTATTAAACTCTATCTTGACACAATATATAAAAGTTATCTATAAATGATCCCCACTGCCACTTGAATATGGCCTGATTGCCAAGTCAACGGCTGATACAACCAGCAGTTTAAAATGTTATCAACAAATGAGCGATCCAAAATTTAATATCTTTCTGTCAAATCCAGGGCAATTATTTTACACAGAGTTAAAAATTAGAACATGCATATATTTAAACTTAAAATATTCAGATGGAATGATTACATGAGAATAAGACCATGATAAGATCAACGAACGATAATAGCTCATTCTCTAAAAAAAGAGAAATTTGCTAAAAGGACTGGTTTTGTTTTATTTCTATTGTGAAAAAAGTTGTAAAAAATGAATGTTTTTGTTTACAACAAAAGCTAATCAATGGTTTGTGAGTTCAAAAACGTTCTTGTTCTTAAGGAAGGGTATTGACTATTTATATTTGGCCACTAGATTCTGGAATAGGCCTACAATACATTCCCCTCAAGTCTACTAAAATAGTTGAAAAAATTCACTGAAGAAATGTTTGCACAGTTACTATTTTGTATCAAGCTGATGATCAAGATTTTGGATTTGTTTGCTTACACAATACTTGAAAGACTAGGTTGTATCAAGGTGCAAATAAAATGGCTTAATGATTGGCTTTGGACACACCAAGAACTCAGAAGTTCAGATAACAAAGTGCAGTTGCCTAAGTACATCGAGCGGCGCCCCCCCCCCCCCCCCCCCACCACAAAACATCACCACTTATGTTTTATTCGTTTATCTCAGCAAAAGCCGTGATTGGGACAAAATCCAAAAACTTTCGGGGACTTTTTTCATTGTCTCTCTTGGTCATGGAAACATCATCATTGTTTTCTGTGATCAAGGAAAATGATCTTCGGTTTTGTAGACATCATCATCATCATCCGCGGGCACGGAAGGGGTGATATCTTTTTCTGCGATTGCGGCAAAATCATGAATATTTCCTTCGCTATTGAAGATGTCATCAACGTCTTCCGTGGTCATGGATAGAAATTTATTCCTCGATTGCGATGAGCGGTGACAGTCGGACCTCGGCGCCACGCCACTGACAAAGTGATGCTGGAGAGATTCACTTTTAGAAAGAATCATGTAGACGATGCCAAAGAAGACCATGGGTCTCTGTGGGTAAATTAAGAGTCGGAGGCCAAGAAATACTTGGAAGAGGACACTGACGGGACAATTTTTGAAGGTGTAAAGAAACAGGAGACCAACGGAGTAAGAGGAGCGATAGAGGAGACCTTAAGCTCAATGAGGGTTTAACATGATTAAATCAAGTCAATCGTTTAAGATAATTATTTATGTTTTATTATACAGTAATTTGGAGCATTTGTACTACATTGAATGTCACAACAAACACATCTACAATAAAAACAGGAAATTAACTGTATGTATTATAAAAAAAAAAAAAACGATGTCTATTTTAATACTTGTATTGCTTAATGACAAATAAAGATCTTGAATCTTTAAAAATAAATTTTCACCTATCACATAAAAAAAAGATAAAAAGTTCAAATTCTACTTTATTTAATATTTACAAATAATGTGTTTTACATAGCCACCAAGCCTAACTGCCACAGTCTGCTGTTAAAGTGGTGGCCTCCCTATAGTACTCATTTTTAAAACAAGGTTAAAATTCTACTTTCAGTCTCATAAATCCTACAATATCTTTTAACAGTAATGCAAATTTATTTTTACATATACAGTCTAATGTAAAAAAAATGAACCTCGATATAACAAATTCCTTGATATAAAATTTTTGTTTTAAATCCTCTAGAACTTTTCATAAGACACAATGTATATTTTACCTCAAAATAACAAACAAACCACATCAACGACCTTGATTTATCAAATTTTTCATGATCCCGGCTAAAATAAGACGACACCTCAATATAACGAATTAATCATTGCCAGAACCTCTACATGGCAAATTTAACCTCTACTTAACTAATTGTCTGGGTCTTTCCCCTGATATAATTAAGGTTCTACTTTACAATGTCAACACTGTATAGTAAAGTATTGTAGACTATGCTACTTTAACTGTGGTTTAATTAAATCAAATCCCAACCTATATTGAACGATGCTGGTTCTGAGCCTCGACTTAACGAAATTCTTCAACAAAATACTTGATATAACGAATACTCAGTTCAGTCCCTCCAGATTCGTTATACGGAGGTTGGACTGTACATTGTGGATCTTTCTCATAGAAAGGGGGAAATAATTATTATAAGCGATGTTTTAAAAACTATATACATTGACTTATACAATTGGACTGTGATAATTAAATAATAATGTGAATTGAATTAAAAGTGTGAACTCAAGGTTACTTGAAAGAAAATTCATTAGGTATTGAATTATTATAGCTATGTATAAAGTCTAGACTTTGATTGCTACTCTGAATTAAATTGTTTTCTTTTTTGGTTTCATTTTTAAAGGCACTTAAAAAATAAATGTAATTATGATATGGTTAAAATTTCACTATGGTCATTTTTTCAATTTCTGTGGTTTTTATGACTGGATTTAGCCGTTTCGCTCATAATGTAGTCAGATATCACAGTAGTTAGTTTAGTTTGTTGACTGACCAAATTTTCAATAAGAGAAAACATTTTGGAAAAGTTCTGTTGTTGCATCGCAAGAGATGTTTCGTTGAGGGACTTGATTTGGTTAAGGACCTCTACTATTTCTGTACCACTGGTTGAGGGTACCGAGATGGATTGAGGCATTGAGAATGTTTTAGTCTCTGTTGGTTCACTTTGCATACTCGTTTGACTGGACTGATTGTAACAGTGATCTACTTGAGCATACTCTAACGCATCAAAACTGCAGTCATATTCTGAATCATCATCTTCTTCATCATTTCCAAGTTCTTCTTCGGATTCACAATCCAATTCATTAGGAGTGTTCAAAACAACTTTTGAGAAGATGTTGAACATAGTTTCGTAGAAAAATGGCCTTCTTCCTGTTTTCCCGTGGTATTTAGCGACTTGATAATTAGCAAAAGCTCTCTTCATATTCCGCCATTTCTGAAACAATCTTGATACCTTTTCCTGTTTTGTTTCACCCGGAATGTCAAACCCTTGAGATTGAATATCTTCAAATATTTTCTCCCAAACTTTACTGCCCCTGTCTGGGGGCTTAGTTGCTATGTTCTGATATTTCTCTGTCATCAATCTCAGTAAAAAATCCACTATTTGTAGTGGGATTTCTTTATTTTTAGGTTTTCGATTGGATAATAACTCAGCTGAGCTCGGAGTACCTGTAAAAGAGTTTGGTAAAATCTCAATTAAATGTTTTACATATGATTGTAAAACATGCACATTATGCATAATCTAAAGCAGGTACAAGTGTTGTGTGTTGTTAAAAAACATTGATCGATTATATTTCACAATGCAGCGCAAGTTTTTAAAATTTATTTTTTTTTATAAAACCAAATTTGGCTTCCTATAGTCCTATTGTAACATCAATATGTTCTAAATACATAATAATCCTAAGGAGAAAAACAAACATTCGGTGTGACTTACACTTGGTAATGTTTGAATAAAATAAATTATTCAGCTTCTTCACATTTTTCCTGTATCTTCTGCCTAACATATTAGTCGGTCATTCTCGTTAAATTTAAAAATATAAAACTTTTATTTTTGTCTAACCCATCAATTTTTGTGTATCAGTATTTCCTTTGGTCAGAAGTTTTGTCTAATAGTTCATTTCCATATTTCCCCACAGTTTAAGTGTGCAGAAATTATTTTCCTACATGGTTTACAATAGTGCAAGTGTTAAAATTCATTTACTGACTTAGGCTAGTGGTATGCAATTAATCAATTGAAATAAAAAATATAGCCTACTGTTAATATTTCTTCACAGGCTATTTTGAGGTTAATATGAGGTTTTCCTTTCAAGGTTTTTTATAATCCATAAGAACTCGCCGGCAGAACGAATTGATTAATGATGTAACAAATAATTTCTACAAAAATAAACAAGATTTATTTCTGTCTAACACTTGACATTTTTATGACATGATTCTTGCCTTAGTATTACTAGAAAAACAATCATCTAGGTACTGATTATGTACTTTATCTTATACTCTTATATGAGAAACTAGCTGTGTACCCGTTCTACGCACGGGGATCTTATAATATTCAGTTGAAACCTTCTTATATAACGAACAGCAGTTGGTTTGCATATTTTAAGATATGCTGGCCAAACTATTATACATAGCTTCATTTTATGTTGTTTTTTGTTGTTCCGGATCGGTATGACAATCAATAAAAGGTTAAATTACCTCTGTGTCTGCCGGTCGATCCTATAACGGTAGGCTTACTTTTATTTTTACTATCTGATCTCGTTTGCATGGCTCAATCACGTCCTGGTTGAAGTTCGTTCGCTACGCTCACTCACCTGTATGTTGGAGCTCGTTCGCTGCGCTCACTTTCCTTCAGGTTAGCTCGTTCGCTACGCTCACTTGCCTTCAGGTTAGCTCGTTCGCTACGCTCACTCGCCTCCAGGTTGCAAATTAGCTGTTGTCATAAATGTAAAAGAAATAATAGTGCTAGTGCTGCACCCTGTTGGTAATCCTTGTAACTTTAATGCTATTGAACATCACAGAACAGAACCAACTTGTTTAATTGAAACAGCTGTTAAGATTCAATAATTTCATTTCTCATAAGGTTAACATGGGCTTCCAGAAATTCCACGTCAAAAATCGACAAAAACTTGATTTTCAAGGGTTTACTGTTAAATATCTAACTGTCTCATATTCGATGAAATACGTCTAAAACCATCTCATATATGTATAGTATTTGGAAAATAAGTTTCAGGCGGGACAGTGCTATAGTTATTGAGGAGTAGTTGTAATAAAGTGCGTATTTTAGCGTTACCAAGAGAATGACAGATAGACAGACAGACAGACAGACAGACAGACAGACAGAAATTGAGATAAGGTTTGATTCGGTTTCTCTGACCTATGAAATGTAAAAATAACCAAAAAGTTCATTATTCTAAGCAATGTACAGACAAAACTCTAATTTTATTTATATAGATGTTTGCTTGTATATATATGCTTGCACAAAGATCTTGTAAACAGATTTAACGATTTACTTCAAATGTTGTAAATATCTTATTTCTGGCCAAAAACGTGTTTACTTCTGTTAAAACTGCCAACAAAAATTTAATTGAATTAAAAAAAATTAAATTTAAGGTCTAAAGGGTTTGACATTGGCCTTATGGGTTGCCAAGTAACCATGTTGGTTGAACAAAATAACAAGGAAAAGTAAACAAAAGACTTGTAACATGTGTTTATAACAAGCCATCCAGTCTACTAGCAAATTACAAAATACAGTACAAAGGGGAAAACATCAGTTTGTTACTATTGAGCACAGATTACACTGAAGATTACTCGATATGGGTAAAAATAGTTTCGATCAAATACTGATTATTTTACTTGGCTCTCTCCTACAAAAACAATAGTACAAAGGCAATTTTAAGCAAAGGTTGGTTTTAACAGTGTAATAAATATAATATTTATTTACTTAGACATCTCCAGACTGAGGTCAACATTAGAAGAGGCAAGGGATAAGGGAATCAGATGCCAAAATCTTCCTTAGGGTTCAGTGGCCACTGAGGTAAAATAAGGTACTCTTTAAGTAATAGTAGGCAATAGAAGGTAATATGTAGCTACTGTACTTTAAACCAGTGTGTGTGAATTGACCGCCAATCCCACTTCAAGGCTTTTCTAATTAACACATCGCTGTTTTATTGTAAAACTATCGGATTTAAAATGCATATCGTATAGGCCTGTAATCAGATGAATGAAATAGATGGTCACATGGTATTAGCATAGATAAAACATACTCCCTTAGTAGATTTCTCATCCTAATGGAACAGCTGAAGACAATTTTATTGTTGGTTCTGTACGGTTTATGTAGAGGTCGTGTTTTGTTTACAATTTTTTCCCCGTTAATACAGTCATTTAAAACCTCGTTTAACCAAATAATACGATCTAATCATAAACAATAAATTGTCCCCTAGTTATTTAACCAAACAGTAAAGCACAAATCAAGAAATTAACCCTAAAATAATAGAAACAAAATTTCGTCGACACTAACGCCAAGTGTGGCGTACATGAACTAGACATGAAAAACGAGCTTCAAAATTTACAATGGGATGAGAAGTCTACTTGTGTTGGTTAGTCTATGGTATTAGTTTACAAGATGATTTTCCCTATTAAAACTGCCACAATTTTTCTCTATGCGTGTAAAATAGCTGTTCTGGATTACATTTAAGATATAATTGACCCCCCCGTACAATTATATTCCCGTAAAAAAAAATTCAATCAGCTGTTTTAATTTAAACAAACTGTCAAAAAAGAAAGGTTTATGCAAGTATTAGCTATTATAAACAAGTGATTTTTACCATCGACTGAAAAATAAATTAATGTCTTGTGGATTGTATTAATCAACTAATGGACTGACCAAGAGTCATGTCTAAGGAATATGTCGGCCTTTAGTCAGTAACAAGACTACAAGATCCTCATCCTACACTCATCTCCATTCATACTTGGCTTAAAATACAGAGATGGTCGCCATCTTATATATTAAAAAGTTTGTTTTTTCTTTTCCATGTTCGTTTGGCTCTTCTACCTGACCGATTTTCATGATTGAGGTCTCAAAATGAAGGTGTGAATGCACAGATTTCACTCAATCATCAGCAATTTATCTACAGCCCACTCGGCTTATAGGTAAACAAAATTTGTTCCCCATGTATTTCTTATGGGAGTTAAATTTGGTTTTTTCCCGAGTTCATTTGGCTCTTCTACCTGACCGATTTTGATTATTGAGGTCTCAAATTGAATGTATGCACACACAGATTTCATATCAAGCAACGGCATATGTGTTTATCTACTGTATTACTCAACCAACATAAATTTGATTTACTTTCGAATTCTCACTTTAATTTAAGATGTATTTCACCAGTTATAATTATATAATCCTATATACCTTCAGTGAGAAATACCAGCTTTCATTTATGCTAAAGTTATTCAAATCGGACGAGTTTCAAGCAAACGCAAGGTGAACAACCAACATAAAAATGATTTTTTGTAAGTTTTTGTATGATTAAAAATCAATAGCTCCAGTATTGTTTATGTTTTTATATGTTTTAAACTCAAAATAATCAGTTAATTATAGGCTTTAATTTGAGCTTATGATCATTTGAATCAGTTAAGTTCAAGATACTGTTTTACTCAATCAAAAATCATAAATTTGATTATTTCTCGGATATGATATTTATTTCAACGCTACGGAGCAGCATGGGTCCTCTAGTTTCAATTAAAAGTAATGAAGTATTAAGTATTAAGTATTTCAAGGTTAAAATTATTTCCATCATAATAAATTGAAATTCCACTAAAACTTAAATGTAAATAAAATTTGAGTTTCCTTTATATTAATTTTACAATGGAAACAACCGAGCTATGGCTCCGTACCCAGATACTATACTTTTTACACAATCTAACTGTCTTAATAAACTAGGTAGTTTAAAGGATAGTTGTAAAAAATAAATCTTACTCGGTTGGCTAATTCCAAGAGCATCTCGCCTTCGCCTTTCTTCAATATCAGAAATAATTGATTTACGTAAATCAGGGGTCAACAGTGTTCTAGGAGTTTTCTTTTTCAAAACAGTTGACTCCACTAGTTTCCATTTTTCAGCTAGCACTGATGCTCCTTCTTTTATATTTTTTCCAAATTTCCATCCTTCCTTTGTCATATCCTTGTAAACGTCTTCCCAGATTCTATTTTTGAGAGGGAACGATTTATCTTTCAAGTACTTACTGTACCTCGGAGAGTTGACCAGTGTTGTCAGCAGGACAAGTGCTTTTGCTGGTAAAATGTCTTTGTCAGAACTTTGATCTGAAAACAGTTGACTTGGATTACAAAGTGAACTAAAACAAACAAATACTGCACACTACTTATTGTGGACATTGGACAACAATCATTTTGGTAAGGTTTTATTTTGAAGCATTCGGGCATCAGAAGTGTGCTTAATAAGCTGTATAGTTGCGACACCAAGCAAGAATTGTCATCATCACTGTTAATGATGCCCACTCTCAAACTACTCTAGGACTCTATCACTACAGCTTAGGAAGGATAGGTTTTAAGGATGGCTCGTTATGAAGCCGATCACTTGTAATGAGAGCTCTAACATCACAATGGTGTTCCCCTTGCCCCCCAGTCTTCGGCCAGCAAAGCCACAGCGCCTGCCACTCACTATTCTTACTATCAGCATAGGAAACCCAGTTTTGAGACTTTATTGCAATAAATACAGTAGTTAATAAATTGTTAATAAATTAATTAATAATTATTGAATATAAATACAGCAAATTAGCATATTGGCTTTATACCACTGTGAAGAAATTGAAATGTAGAGTTTTACCCTTGGAGCCTTTGAATTTTCAGCTGTTATTTGCCGGTCCAAAGAGCATGCACATAATGGTACAACAAGGCAGTGTTTCCCAACCTTCTTTTTATGACCTACCACTTTACGAGACAAAAATGTTTTTCATACCACCATTAACACTGATGATGACCGATAACACTGAAGTAGACATCCTGTAAGTGTACACAGGTTGGGAAACACTGCGGCAATCTCCTATGGGTATAATATTTTTCACCTCTCTTTAACCTTGTATTTTCTCGTTCATATGTCTCTGAACTGAACTGTTTAAGTTTAGTGGCAGGAGCCAGTACGCGAACTGACATCACTGTCATAAATTCATAGTGTGACGTGCTACTAACTTGTTGGAATTTATAATCATGTTCCTCATCGCCTTATGGGTCTTAATTTTATAACAGCTGCCATGGGTTTGCTATGTTTATTTAATTGTTGTAAATAAACTTACTTCCACTATGGACTTAAGAACTTTTTTTGGGGTGGGATGGAGCTGGTGTAGTGGTTAGAGCGCGGGACTTTGGTCCCTGAGGTCCCCGGTTCAAATCCTGCCAAATAACCAATGGATTTTGGAAATAGACAATTTGATATGAAGATGGCTCTAAAGTATAAGGGATTGTGGAATTGCATCGAACCACGAAGGACTACTACAGAGACGACACCGCTAACTCTGGATCCAAACAAAGATGAGAGGGCACTCGCCATGCATCTGGCTCCAAAAATACATGTCAGGACGGTCATATCAGTGAAGGAAGCATGGTACATTTTAGCAAAGCAGTATGAAGTCAAGAGCACAAACCGGAAAATATTCTTGTTGGACCCGCTTTTAGATTTAAAGTTGGAAGTATGCAACAGCATGAGTGAGTTGAGTATATTTCTAAATTTCTTTACCTCAATGATCAACTCGCTGACTTAGAGAAACATGTGGATGATGAAATGAAGGCGTTTCTACTTCTAAGAGATTTGCCTGAGTCTTACAACAGGGCATTTAGGATGGCAGTCGAGAGTACAGATAAAGTAGAATATAGTAAAGTACTAGAAAAATTAAATAGCATGGCTGAAAAGGATACCACTGAGTCCTCAGTAGTATTTTCAACTTTTAAAAGCACTACTGGGAAGCCTTTTCTAACAAAATCAAATAATAATGAAGCTAACTCTAATAATAGCTAAAGATGAGGAAGCCTTTTATTCCTACTTGTTACAAATGTAGAAAGGCAGGCCATATGATAAGGGATCGTCCTGAAAATAATCAAGCTAATAGCTCAAAGATAGAGTCAATTTCCAAAATTGGTAAGTCAGATGGTAAAAACAAAAATAAAAAGTTAAGTTGGATAACCGCCCTGAATATAAAGGTAGAACCTGAAAGCTGGTTCTTAGACTCCTGTTGTTCTGACAATCTTTCTAAAAGTAAAGAAAGTTTTCAAACGTTGAACTTGAATGAGGGAGTTAAAGAGGTCACTATCGCTAATAATGTCAAAATTTTACTCTGTGGGTTCTGGGAAAGTTACTGTGAGTGAACCTTAAAAACTTTGGTGAGAGTGATATCAAATGTGACATATGTACCAGATTTGTCTAAAAAATTGCTATCTGTGAGTAAAATAACTAGTTAAGGGTAGGTTTTAGTTTTTGATGACAAAGGATGTAATATTCACATAAAAAATGGGTTTTCAGTAAGAGGTGAACTCTGTGGAACTGGAACAAATACAAACAGACTGTATCGTTTGGACACAGAGAGTAAATGCAACATTGATCCAAATGATGGCAATTTGGCTATGTCTGATCAAGTTGACCGGTCAGTTAGTGTGGAGCGAAATTTATGGCACAGAAGGTTGGGTCACTTGAATAATTTTAGTGTTTTACAAAAGGGGATTGCTTTGGGTGTTGATTTTCCTAGTCAGAAGCCAGAATCGTGCATTCCTTGTCTGGAAGGGGAAACACTTCAGATCTTTCCCAACCACTTCAAGTAAAAGAGAGCTGAGGCAAAACTAGAGTTAATCCATACGGATATCTGTGGGCCTATGAATGTTCAGTCCCTTCAAGGTAATCACTTCATGCTAATATTTATTGATGACGTCACCAACTTGCTCTCAACCGGTGCCGTATCATGTGTTTTGTTACCGTCTGGTCGACCAGTGTTAAATGTTCAGTTTCGTGTTTTTATGTCGTGTCCATGTTATTTATTTACTATTAACTTTTGACGAACTCCACCATGAGGAATATCTAATGACTACTGCTTGACATTCTCCTGACCCGAAGATGTGCTCCTATAGCACAAAACAGCTGCAGTCACTACAAACTACAAAGGATCGTTTTGGACAGTAACAAGGTATTTTAAACCACTATACCTTTAATAAAGAGTATTGCAGACCGCATGGGTGTTGTCAGACAAGGATTTACGTACTTACAACTGCAAAATTACTACAGAAGTAATCTACAGTTACAAACAGCTGGTTATTGCTTTCAAACAATGTTTTTAAACTCTTCCTCAGCAATGTCACTTATCTTGTAAGTGATTAGGCTTACCTGAAAGTTGTATGCGTTTAAGTTCAGCATCCGGCTTCATGTCAACATCCCTTTCTTCCATTTCATTGTTTTCTTCAAGAGTTCTTTTTTTATTATCGTTTTCATCTGGGAAAATGTTATTAAAAGTTTAAAAATGCACAAAGCAAATAACTGTGTAATTTTTTGTATTTTTATAGACGTAAAGGTTAGCTAATAGGTAGCAATAAAGGTACCTAGGTAATAAACGTAGGCATATTAGGAGCATTGTGAAAAAAATAAATTGTGGTGTAGGTTATGGAGGGGAAGTGGATGTGAGAAAATGGGAAATGATTTGCAATTTTGATTCTGATATGGTAGATATAAGAAGCAAAATGATCCATTGTTGATTCATGCACCAAATAATGAATTTAATGCTTCAATTCCCATCATTCACTCATAATCAGCTAAATGCACCTAAATTAAATTATCACTTTTCAATATGGTTTCCAATATGGAAAATATAAGATTATTGAGAGTGTGTTTTACGCAGTAAATAACTTCGTTACTGGTAATTAATTAGTTAGTAATTAATTAGTAATTAGTACTAATTATTTACTTATTAATTTAATTACCTAGCGTTGCAACTAGTTTTGACTTTCTACAATGTCAAGGATGTCAAATGGTGGTCACTTCATATGTTTGAATTTTTTAGATCTAACCATAAAAAAACAGAACTCAGCATTCACTTTCAAAATTTACCGTAAACAAACTGTTACAGACCAAACCATCCGCGCAGACTCTCATCATCCACATTCAATTTGTATAACAGTCGTTAGATCACAAATGGGACTGGATGCATTGCACGGCTGAGCGTGTAAATAGTAAACAAAGGAGTATCTATTTATTTTAATGCTGAGAAGGCTATTCAATTATTGAGAATGATTAGCAAAGGTGACATTTATTAAATAGCAAGATCTAAGACAGTTACAAAAATATTTTGTTTTTACATGGATTATAACATAAAAGAAGTATTTTGTTGATGAACAACAATGAAGACTGGAACTGAAGATAAACGAAGACGTAATGAAGAATAGATTGAAGAATACGATTCCTTCCTTTCCGTTATTCCTTATTCCTCTAAAAAATAAAATGTTTTTATTTAACGCATTGTAGGGTAAAGATCTGTAATGTTAGTAAATAATTTTAAATCAGGCTGAACATTTTATTCACAATTTTGAATTTGTGCATAAGGTTTGTTTGAGGATAAACGAAACAGTTGAGAACAAGTTGACCGTGATATGTTTGGTAGGATAATTAGGGCACTGATAATGAGAAAGGATTCACCTACTGTCCGTATCTTATTTGTTTGGAATCATAAACCTGTCGAATGAAATGAAATTCCATATTTTGTGATTTTATTTAGTTTTACTGTCCAGAATAAGAATTAGGGACAAATCATGTTTCAGTTTTTTAGAATAATATTTAATATTTAAAGAATTTTTAAATACGGCAGACACAACTGAATATGACCTAAAATAAATAAATAGGTAAAGAAAAGGTTTTAGAGTCAAGATGACTTATTTTATAATAATTCGAATAAATTAAACTCTCGTTAATGATCGAGGATGGATGAATCAGTGAATGCTAGGGATGAAAGTTTGAATGAATGGGATTAGCAAAAGGTTAGCGCGTCTGTGGTATGAATGTTCACACTCATTTTCTGTTTTTATTTAATTGCACACTTCACACTTGGTACTTAGGTGGCCCGGGACACACAGGGTACTTCACATTGAACATTGACACTTGTTATTTTTGCAACTTTAAGTACATAAACATTAGGATTTATGCTTCATTTTGTTTCGCCTTAAGCGCACTTTAGGGAATATACAGGGAAAGGAGAGTTTAATGTTAAATTTTGTTCGACATAGGTTTTCTACAATTTTGTGGTTCAGGATTACTAGGTCATATAAGGTTAGTCAAAGTAAGATTTGGGTACTAACAGCATGTGTTTAGGTCAAGAAATGTAATACTTTGCTCTTAAAGGTTCTAAATGAAAATGTCTGACTTTATTTAACAATCAGTTTGCCGTATTTTCCAGAGTGAAAGTTAAGTTGTCTTATCTTGATTGTTGTTGTAACCTGTCATATGTTAGACCGAGCGATAGCAGCGCTCTGTACCCTGGCGGACGGCAACGAGGAAAACTAGAACTATTGCGATTGTTGCCCGCCAAGTAGTTGTAATCCAAACGGACGCTCCTGCGTCGGAAAACTTTGATTTCTTTGAATAACAAAATGTATAAATTATGTTTGGATATATTAAGTGAAAATTTGTAATGTATAGAAGAGCTAAGTGAGTTTATTTGTTTTTTTATAGGCTAGTAAAATTTTAAAAAGCAGGGGAAAATTTTATGCTAGTACCTAGTTTGTTGAGGAAATTTTAAAGCCTATTTTGGTTTAATTTGAATTTACCGCCCTTAGCGCCACCTGCGGTGGCCGAGGTCCACAATATTTATCTGTCCATTGGGTTTAAAATCATAAATTATTGTACTAGTGGGGGTGCTGGCTACAAGTTTGCATGGCTCCTGTGATTATCTAAGTGTTACAATAATTTAGTTAAGGATTATTATATTTATGTGTTAAATGCTTTTTCAGGTGCTATAATTTAATTGAGATACATAATTAACTAAGTTGTACAAGTAATTATTTACTGTAAAGTTTTGTTAACCACGTGTGGTCAGTTAGCCTGTTTGAGTTTGTAATTTCTTGTAACTTGAATAGTAAAACATCAGAAGTGTTTTGAAAGCTATATAAATTTAAAAATGAGGATTATATAATTTTAATATTTAGGTTCTGGACAAATACAATTTTTTATTCAATTTATAGTACCCTAACTCAACTCAATGAATGATTTTTTTGTATTGTACACTTTATAAGTTTAATCCAAATCAATATTTTATACCTTTTATACTTCTTCCAACAGGTCTCTTGTAATATTAATTTATTTTAATTTAAGCTTGTGTAATGATTTTGCAGATGGGAGTCAAATTGTACAGCTAAATCTAGGCTAAACAAGACCCAGCCAACACCTGCTGTATAGAGTAATGTACCAGTCTATATTATTGGGTACTAATAACGGTTACTTCTAGCAAATGTGTAAAGGGTTATTTGGTTTAAGAAAAGTAATAAATTGCTGAACCATAATTCGCTGAGTCATTATTAATTGACTCCCCTCTTTCACTGGTCAACTTGGCGACCCTCTTGGCTCTGATCCGCAAGCTAAAGGAAGTGGATCTAAATTCACATCATAATTATATTCAATTGGCCACCCTCGATCCTGAGAAAAGTCAGTAGCTTTTTGATGGTTCGAAACTGGACCCAGCTGTTCCTGATCATTGGGCTTTAAATAAATGATCCTGGCTAATGAAAAAGCTGATCTTAGTCAGTAACAAAGCTACACAGGTCATCACACACCATTCTACACTCATCCTTCACTCATATTTGGGTTAAAATACGCACCTAAGTGGCGTCCCCATCTTAATGATTGATAATTGATAATTGGAATAACAGCTATGTGCTTACAAAGATTTACACCATAAACTAAGCAACACAAGTAGACTCCTCATCCCATTGTAAATTTTGAAGCTTGTTTTTTGTGTCTAGTTCATGTACGTCCACACTGATCGCTGGGGTAGACAACATTTTGTTTCTATTATAGTAAAGCACAAATCATGAAAATAACCCTAAATATTTTCATGATTTGTGCTTTACTATTTGGTTACATAACTAGGAGACCAGTTATAGTTTATGATTAAATCGTTTTATTTGGTTAAATGAGGTTTTAAATGACTGAAATAACAAGAAACAAATCATAAACAAAACATAACCTCTACAATTGGACGTACAGAACTAACAATAAAATTGGCTTCAGCTGTTCCATAACTTCATCTTGTGTATTGCCTTCCGGATTACTTCATGAATTGTACACAAGAGGTTAAGTTACCTTGATTCTGTCCAAGTAATCCTTAAGTATTACTTAAGACTTAAGGATTACTTGGACAGAATCAAGGTAACTTAACCTGTTCCATAAGGATGACAAATCTACTAAGGGAGTATGATTCATCTATGTTTACACTGAGGAAAGTATAACACTTACGTATTACAGGCACCAGTTTTCCTGGTAAACTGATTTCCTCTCGCTTCATTACAACTTTGATCCCGGATGGTTTCAAAGAAAGATCGTAGAGTGTTCTTATTTCTTCAGTATTTGGTACTGATAAACAATTATCACCTAGAAATAAAAAGAACAAAAAAGAACAAAAAAAAAACATTTATTTTCACAAGTTCATTGTAATATTGGATCACTTGTTTAATAGTAGCCTATTTATTTTATTGTCCTGTTGAAAGCATATGGTTTATGTTTTTGTTGTGATGATTTAAGTTAGTGTGGCATGAAGGTTAAAATGTTCTTTCTTTAAATAGTTTGTTTTATTTTGTGATTATACTACTCTGGCGACGTGGATGTCAAGAAGGAAGCAGAAGAGTGATAGGGAAATTCATGAAGAGTCTCACAATAGAGTTGGAGAGGAAAATGGATAAGTTTGTTTTTGAGAAATACAAGTGTGAAGAAACAGCAGAAGAGTATATGGAACATTTTCAACCTGTCTGTCGGGTGAAAGGGTTGGGGGGTTCAGATGAGCGTAGTAAGGAAGCGCGATAAGACTTACTACTGGCTTATGTGGGAAGTGAACCACTCCAGAAGATGCAAAATTATTTCTTTCTGAAGGACCTTGATTCTTGTTCATATGAAGACTGCATTCTTTACACTTTATGGTCCAAACCAAACTATTTTTGCTGCCAGTTTTGAGTTTGAAAGAGCTGTTTGGTTAGGAATGAAAGTGAGTCCTTCACAGAATATTTCACCTGGTTGAAGAAATTAAGCAAACACTGTCGGTATGGCCAAGGCTTGGATGAACGGACCCGGGATCGTTTCATCGCAGGGGAATTCAATGAACATTACATTACATTACATTACATTATTTGTCATGAGAGCCGAAGCCCCCTGACTACGTACCCGGTACCTGTCGTGAGACTTACCCGGGCCCCATGATGTAGGCCGAAGCTTACGCATCAACCTTTAGCACATCATGGGCGGATGACTTAAGGTCATCAGGCTCGCCGGCTGCCGAAGCAGACCCTTCGGAAAGAGGGTTGCCCCTCAATCCTAACCAGGGATTCCGGCTGCTTGTTTAAGCGTCACTCCATCTGGGTTCCACTAGGTCGGGACCTAGAGGACCATAGTGGAGCGCCCCGACGCATTTAGTGCAAGCAACACTCGGGACCTATCTAATCCCTGACAGGCAAACCCGCCATCAATAGCCAGAAGGAAGGGGACCGTCAGCACGCTGACGGGGGGAACCCCAACCTCCCATTTACACCACTACCCGATCGAGGCCTTACCCAGTTGCTGGGAAACCAGAGATAACCAGAGCGATAGATCCCCAGATACCCCTGGCGGGCTCGGACCCAGCACCCGATCTACTTCGTTTGCCCGTCAGACCCAACATCACTGCCAGGCCATCAGGGTTTCCCAAAAGGAGGCAGGTATAGAAGTGGGACCCACCCGGATGAACCTATCCACCAGAGGTGGCGACACCCTTGACTCAATTGAGGTTCCGGGAAGAACCCCCCACACTCAAGATAACCATACCGTCCGTGCTCAGAGACAGGGATTATTTTGCATAAGTGCCTACAAACCGTTGCCCTCACACTGCGGAAAGTTACGTTGCCCTTGAGTGTCCCCGTGAGCTACGGGTACTTGCCCGTTTTCACCTCCAGGAAAGGTTACTTCCAAAGTCGAGGATTTGCCACACTGAATGCTGGTCGCACACAACAAGCAGGCCGAAGCCCAAAGAACCACAGACACAGGTAGGTTAGAGAATATGATGCACTTCCATCTCTCCTAGAGCTAAACACCCCTCCATCCTGGATAAAGGAATGTCACTGGGACCCAATGCCCAGTCGTCCATGTCTGTGGCCTACTTGAAAATGCCGATACCAACACCGAGCATTTACCTCCCCTTTGGGGGCTAGGTATTTCACCTCCCAGGACGAGGCTACTTCCAAAGTCGAGGATATGCCTCACAAAATGTCAGTCGAACACAACAGGTAGGACGAGCCCGAAGAACTCAGTCACAACCACAAGCTACAGGCAGGTGAAAGATCTATGAACTTAATCAACACTAGCAGAGCTGAACACCCCACCACCCTGAATGGAGGGAATGTCACTGGGTACTCTCACTTTGGGTACAACCCAAAGAGGCTGGCTTGTCCAGTCGTCCATAGCTTGTGGCCTACCTGAAGTGCCGGTTCCAACACCGGGCAATTACCTCCCCTCTGGGAGAGCTAGGGTCCGCGTGGTCGCCCAGGCCACGTACCCACGCAAGCGTGGGCCCCCTGCGGTCAATTCAATGAACAATTTGAAGCGGAAGTAAGGCATTGTTGGCCGGATGGTGTAGAGACCGGTGGCAGCGTAGTCACGGCAGAGAGAGTGTTTCAGCTGGCCAGGTCCATGGAGCTTGCCAGAAACGAGGTGAGTACCAGTTCTACACCGAGTCTCGAAAAATGTCAATTAGGTAGAAACAGTGTCTACTATTTGGGACATAAGATTGATCAAGATGGAATATATCCCAGGAAAGATCAAGTAACGGCATTAAAGGAAGCCAAGACACCAACAAACAAGAAAGAGCTGCAAGCGTTTTTGGGAGCCATTATTGTGAGAAGTTTATCCCTCATCTTCATGGTTCAATATTACATCGATTAACAAGTTCTAAGACTTCCTGGGTGTGGAATCAAGAAGAACAAGAGGAGTTTGACAGAGCGCACAATCTGATTGCGGAAGATGCAACAGTTGTTCCTTACCGAGATGATTTATCCATAACAGTATCCTGTGATGCTTTGGAGGTAGGTGTGGCAGCAATCATTCTCCAAACAGATCACTGTGGTGTAGAACGACCAGTTGCCTTTGCTTCGTGTACTTTGCAGGAATCGGAAATGCGACAATCGTCAATTGACAGGGAAGCACTTGCTTGTGTGGTGGAGTGGTCCACCAGTATCTTTATGGCAGCCATATTACCTTAACTAGTGACCACAAGTCTTTGGAGAGAATTTTTGGTAAACATCGGGATTTGACCAGGACGATGAATAATAGGTTGGTTGGTTTCTATTTTCTTGAACAACCATGACTTCGATATAAAGTATATAGAAGGTATAAACAATGTTTTGGCGGATGTTCTCTCTAGACTGCCCAGCGAGAGTGACCAACCATCAAGAGAAGAGTTGTCTGTAAAACTACTGGTTCAGGAAAAGATAGACGATATGGATCTGAGATCAAAGGATCTGCAAGAAGAAACTAGAAAATATGAGACTTGCAGGCGTGTAATGATGGTTATGGAATCACAATGGCCACAAAAGTTGCCTAATGATCTGTGGCTTTACAACGCCATCTGTCAGTATTCAATTGATTTTAATTTCAAACATATGTTAGCAATTATTGTTAACTAAATATTTAGGCCTACTTTCTTTTAGCGAATTTCCCATATAGGGAATAAGCTATTACCGTAGTACTCATGGTAAGACCTGGACGCGGGACCGATTTTTTTTTTTGTTTTGAGGTCCCTAGAGGCCAAAAACACCATCCATTCAAATTCATATATATATATATATATATATTTATATATTTATATATATATGTGTCCGTCAGCACGATAACTCGAGCAAAAATGATCCGATTTTGATGAAATTTGGTACAAACGTGTAAACGTACGTTTATTTGAACGAGTTCGCGATCCAGCATGATCCGACTATGGGAACGGGGGTTTACGGGGGGTTTTATGGGGTAAAAATAGGTTTTTCCCATTTTTGACCCAAAAAACATAAAATTTAGCAATTTCTTTCCAAACCATTTTGTAGAGCTTCAAAAAACAAATAATTTAGTATATTGAAGCGTTATTATGCGCCTAATGGTTACGGAGAAAATTCCAAAAAATTGTAAATAAAAAATTCCCATGTTATTCTTATGGAGAATAAGTAAACTGTTGTAGTTTGCTTGTTTGTGAACATATTTTGATCAAATTTAGAAAATGTTTTTATTTCTTACCAACAATTCACATTTTACAAAAAAAAAAAAAAACAGTTTTACCCTCTCTGATGCAGCAAACCTAAGTGTTATATTTTTAAGTAGACATTTCAGTGTAAATCCAATCAGTCAAATGGAAATTTGCTTAGTCTGCTGGTTTGCTGTGGCGGGGGTATTTTATTTTTTATCGAATTTCCCATATAGGGAATAAGCTATTACCGTAGTACTCATGGTAAGACCTGGACGCGAGACCGATTTTTTTTCGTTTTGAGGTCCCTAGAGGCCAAAAACACCATCCGTTCAAATTCATATATATATTTATATAGGTACCGTATATATATATATTCTTGAGGAGATCTTGATAGAGTTTATGAAGAATGAAACATGAAACATTGCAAATTTTCGTTTAATACAAACGTTTTCAAGCAAAGAGAAATTAATGAAAAATTTAAAGATTATGAACAAAACAAATAAATATGAACTGTTTACAAATAGTTGAATTTTGAGAACATATGATTGAGTACAGATCAAAGAAAATAATAAAATCAGCCTAAAAGGAAATTAAAATTCAGCTGAATTGAATCACTTTTTTATATATAGGTATATATGTGTCCGTTAGCGCGATAACTCGAGCAAAAATGATCCGATTTTGATGAAATTTGGTACAAACATGTAAACCTACATTTATTCGAACGAGTTCGCGATCCAGCATAATCGGACCATGGGAACAGGGGTTTATGGGGGGTTTTATGGGGTAAAAATGGGTTTTTCCCATTGTTGACCCTAAAAACATAAAATTTTAGAATTTCTTTCCCAAACCATTTTGTAGAGCTTAAAAAAAGAAATAATTTAGTATATTGAAGCATTGTTGTATGCCTAATGGTCACGGAGAAAATTAAAAAAATGCAAATTTAAAATTCCCATGTTATTCTTATGGAGAAAATGAAAACTGTTGTAGTTTACTTGGTTATGGATATATGTTGATCAAATTTGGCAAACTTATTTATTTCATCCTATACTATTGTTGTTTGGTTAAAAAACACTGTTTACCTTCCCCGTGCAGCAAACCTAAGCACTCGTTATATCTAATGTAATTTAAATTGGGAATAAATATGTCTTATTTATGGAAGTATTTTAGTAAATATGTAATCAGACAAGTTGAAATTCGCTTAGTCTGCAGGTTTGCTGCGGCGGGGGTATTTATTTCTTTTGATGTTGTACTTTTTGCCCATACAATAAATCCTCTAAAATGTTAATTGTGTCATTTTATTAATCAATGTAACTTACATCACCACTAACCACGCTGGTGACTAACGACAGGCGTGATAATTGAAGCAACATGGAAGCAAATTCTTCAAGACAAGTCAAAGAAAACTCTCCAAGAAACCTCAACTAAGTTAGGGTACCATACCAACTAGGGTACACAAAAATGTGTATTTTTACTCCATTTCTTGATAACAAATTTATTTAGTCGTTGTTTGAAATTTGTAGTACAAAATCGTTAAACTAGCCATTTTATTGCTTTTGGGTCATAATGTTGTAAAATATACTAGGCCTAATTGAAATATTTTTATATTTCCATGTTGGGAAATAAATTCTAAACATTTTTTATAGGCTATCTTGAATTTTACATGAAAACTTTTTTGGTCATGCAGCAACGTTTTACTTTCAAAATTAGCCTAAAAAAACCATTTTTTTTTTCTACCTAGGCCTACAGTTTTTAGACTCCCTCATATCCGGATACCTTTTAACCGGACATCGGTTTAACCGGACTACACTCGGCGGAAATTACATCTCTTTAACCGGGCAATTTTGATCGATATAAGTTATCGATTGTTTCATTCGATATATCATTTGGTTAGTTAGGTAAGGTTAACCTAACCTTACTAACCAAACGATATATCGAATGAAACAAGCGAATAACCGATATTTTCATTCGAATGAGTGTAGGACCTAAAGTAAAGTGCAGCCGATCTCGGTCCCGAGGAGTCCAGATAAGAGGGAGTCTACAGTAATGTCAATATTTAGGCTACTGTTCTATCTTAAATATTTATTCTGTTGCCATTTTCAAATTCTTCATTTCATTACGAACAATTCAAGTACAGTATATGGTTCAATTGGTTTGCTCTTTTGGTTTAGTTTAACTTATATGAATTTTCGAAAATATGACTGCAAAATCCCCCAAAAATGCCTTGCCACTACAGAGTTCGCCCATTGCCAGTTGGAGTTGGAGGGTTAATTGTTTATGATTATTTTACCTGTTTCCCAGCTCCGTGAAAATAAATTATTGACTACTTCTCTATTAAGAGATTGGATCTAAGTTACCAAATCGAGACTTGAAACTTACCATTTGTATGATACAGAAGTAAATTGCCCTCATCGTCAAACACTTCATTTCCTTCTTCATCAGTCATCAGAAGATAGTTATTTGTTTTAAGAACTTCCATTAAATTTGTTGGATCCTGCATATTGAAAAAACAATTAACCTAATTATATTTTGCATACAAAGTAGCCTACCAGTCTTTTTCTAATCAATCTCACCCTCACCTAACCTAAACATAACAACAAACAACTAGAACTAGAACTAAACAAAATTCGAAAAATCATCGAATAACCACATGTCCACATCACATCTACCATCTACCCAACCACAACCAGCACTCCAGCAGTACTGCCACTGCCACCGTAAACCAATGAAAATTCTCCATCTAACTAAGACGATCCCCATTATATCCCCAGCTAAATCTTAAATACTCCAGTCCAATAATAATCCACCAAGCCATAAAAAATATAAAGAAAGTCCCCAATTTTCATCAACCCAACAACCCTCAAAATTCTACAAAAATTATCCCTTTTAACAACCAAACTGTCCCCAAAGTAGGTACTAGGTAGGTGTAAGGCTCTGAGGAGTGGGAATTTTGGAGAGGGATTTTCTCCCTAATACCACAGAAAACATAATAATGTTTTCTGTGCTAATACTTGAATTTGCCCTATTTTGAGGGTAAGATCATTGACTATATAACACAAGTCGACTTCTATTGTATAAAAAACCAATATCCCCGCCGCAGCAAACCTGCCGACTAAGAGGATTTCCATTTGTGGAATAGATTTTTAATTAAACCTATTTAAATAACATTAGGTTTAATGTGTACCTGGGTTTGCTGCTACAAGGAAACTAATAAAGTGTATTTTTTTGTAAAATATTAATAGTTTAGTATAAAATAAATAAATTAGCCAAGTTTATTATTAGTAAATTATTTGTTTTTCTAAGCTCTTTAAAATGGTCTAGAGAGAAATTATTTTAATAACATTAGGTTTAACGAGTACCGGAGTACCTAGGTTTGCTGCTACAAGGAAACTAAAAGAGTGTGTTTTTGAGTAAAATATTGATAGCTTAGTACAAAATAAATAAATTTGCCAAGTTTGATCAAAATATATCCATAAATAAGCAAACTACAACATTTGACAATATTCTCCATAAGAATAACATGGGAACTTTAAATTTAAAGTTTTTTTTATTTTCTCCGTTACTAATAACCGAACAAAAATACTTTTATATACCACTAGCTGTACCCACGGGCTTTGCCCCGTTTTACTTCATAAGTGAGCTCGTTCGCATGGCTCAACCACGTCCTGGTTGAAGTTCATTCGCTATGCTCACTCACCTTTAGGTTGGAGCTCGTTCGCTGCGCTCACTTGCCTTCAGGTTAGCTCGTTCGCTACGCTAACTCGCCTCCAGGTTGAAGTTCGTTCGCTACGCTCACTCACCTTTTGGTTGCAAATTAGCTGTTGTCATAAATTAAAAAAGTAATAGTGCTGCACCCTGTTCGTAATCCTTGTAACTTTAATGCTATTGCACATCATAGAACAGAACCAACTTGTTTAATTGAAACAGCTGTTAAGATTCATTAATTCCATTTAAATATGAGTACTCATAAGGTTAACATGGGAAACTCCAGAGCCACTGGGGCGGAGCCCGAGAGTCCGATCAGAATAAAAACAACTTAGTTTTCCTATTTAATGCCTAAAGAATCAGTGTACCAAATTTCAGCCTCATAGGTAAATGGGAAGTGGGAGAATTAGTGATGAGTGAGTGAGTCAGTCAGTCAGTGAGGGCTTTGCCTTTTATATATATAGATAGATAAAACATACTCCCTAGATTTCTCATCCTAATGGAACAGCTGAAGACAATTTTATTGTTACTTCTGTACGGTTTATGTAGAGGTCGTGTTTTGTTTACAGTTTGTTTCCCGTTAATACAGTCATTTAAAAACTCGTTTAACTAAATAATACGATCTAATCATTAACAATAAATTGTCCTCTAGTTATTTAACCAAACAGTAAAGCACAAATCAAGAAATGAACCCTAAAATAATATAAACAAAATTTCGTCGACACTAGCGCCCAGTGTGGCGTACATGAACTAGACATGAAAAACGAGCTTCAAAATTTACAATGGGATGAGAAGTCTATGTATATACAATAGTTATTTGTGCAACTAGTGAGAAAAGTGAGCAATTGACTCACTCGAGAGAAATCCTTACTCACGAGCCGTAGGCGAGTGAGGAATGGTTTATCGAGTGAGGCAATTGTACTTTGAACTCGAGTTGCACATTATACTTTTCGTACAGTTACCATAAAACAAATAAATTGGTGAAGAAACATAACCTAATTTTACACAGACGTGAACTTTTAATATAACATTTAATGTGAAGTGACAAATACAACAGTACAACAGCTGACCAGCTGATTTATAGCCAGTGCTGCCAACGTATTTCGCGCGCATACGACGTTGCCTGCATGTTACGCGCTCACTATTTCGTGCCTTCACGTTGCAAATCTGGAGTGAGACAAAGTAATTATAGTGAGACAATGTTAACATTGTGATGAGCGAATTGGCCACTTTGCTTTCTCAAATCAGTGAGAGAACATGTACATTGTTAGGTAACTGTAGGAAAAATTATTTGTTTTTTTAAGCTCTTTAAAAAGGTCTACAGAGAAATTGGGAAATGTTGTATTTTGAGGGTCAAAAGTGAGGAAAACCAATTTTTACCCCATAAAACCGAGGTGATGGCTCGATAGCTGAGTTGAGTCAGTTGTTGAGTTTTGACCAAAGGTTTTGACTGTGTTGTTTTGAGGTTTGAGTTGCATGGAATTTGCATTGCAGGCGGAGTTGAGACTTGAGCTGTCGAATTGGATTGGAGTTACTGTACTAACTAAAGTTGTATGTCACTACACTATTGTCAGTATTGTCACTCACTACTCACTAATGTAACCAACGTAACGCGAGGAAATAAGAATTGCTGCCATCAATTAATTAACCGGGCATCGTTTTAATTGATCTATTTATTTTGTATATTACTTAAGATTTACAGTTATTATGAGACCGTACAAGTTAACATTTTTTAATTGGAGATATTAGTTGGGATAGCCTTGTGTTCATTATCGGCTGACAGGTTCTAACCCTTATCACATCATTGACCATAGGCAAGTTGTAGAATTTTACTTACTATAGGAGACTTCAATTAACTGTTGATGAAAGCTGAATGTTGGTAACTTATTTTCTAGTTGTAATAATGTTAAAATGTTCCTGGTAACCTCAATAGATTGTCCAGTAGCCTATTTCCTATCTGCTGACTTAAAGGCTTAGACCACAAACAGCTAGGGCTTAGGGCCTACAGGAAGCTTTTTTAAGCATTTCTTCGAGTTCGAGCATCTTTAGGCTCACATCGATTTTTGAGCTCCTATCATTAAGACTAGGAATGATATATTTTTCGTTTAACTTGTGTACTTAATCTGTAAGAGGAAAACACCACAGTCATGGGAAACAAGAATAGTTGTTGTGCATACTCAAGCCCTCCTACAAGTCGAAAGCAGAAAAATGATTTTGAAGAAGCGGCACAAGAAGGTGAAGAAAGTGTTGGAAACCTTCAACATATTAGTGAGCGAGAACCAGAAGATTGTGATGCTGACCCTTCTTTGCATCCAATGGCAGGAACAATATTTCTTGAAAGATCTAAGGCAACATTTGAAAGTAAGTAACTTAAAATTTGTCACCTTGTTGTAGACCTAGGCCTACGCCCACTGTCGGCTTTATGGAGGTAAAACTTAAAACGTTGTAGTATTGAATTGATAGCATCAAGTAGGCTAAGTTACCAGTATATTGAAATTGATAGCCTACTTTCATGCTCGATAATAGGATGGAGTTAGGTTGGCCTATTAAAGTATGGCCCTCATATTTACCAACAAAAATCAGAAGACAAGTTAACATAAAATTACATTTCTATAAGTTAAATCCTAACAGTGGAGACCTTTTATCTGAAAAAAATGTATTGGCCGGTGCTTCCGGTAGCCAATAGGGTATAAGTAGAGACGCCATTCAAGATTCTTGTCATTCGCCTATTGGGTCTGATGATGATTAGAGTGTCCAATCGAAATTGACTAGGTACCACTTACCATCTTTCTTGTATATTTACCGTCTCGTGAGTAACAGTATAGCGTAAATATATGTTTTAAGTGTTATAAGACGTTTCTTTTATTTACTTTCCGTTTTATCTATCCAGACCAGCCTTTAAGTATTCTGACAAAAAATATTCTTAACTTAGGCCTAACTTAACTTATATGATTAAAAAACTTACCACCAAAATACCTTAAAACATACAAACCCATTAGCCCTAGGCCTATTGCGATCAAAGCCTACCATTGGGTAGTGATGCATTTTTAATTGGTGTCTCAATTAGGCCTAGGCCTACACACATTTACTGCTAACTAGCCTAAGTTGGGTACACTTCCATATCTGTTGTCACAAACTAAGGGTAACGGTACACTTCCATATCTGATGGCACAAACAACCGAATGAAAATATCGATCGATATATCGTTTGGTTAGAAGGTTAACCTAACCTAACTTACCAAACGATATAATCAACTTGAACAATCGAATAATCAATATTAGGCTTACTCATTCGGTTGTTTGTGCCAACATATATGGAAGTGTAATTCTTAAAACATTCTGTAGGTAGCCTAACCTAACAATTTGATCTATTAAAAAATCTAAACTTTCCTAATCAAACCTAGTTTCAAAACACTTACAGCCCTGAATTTGCATACAGCTTGACCGACCACCCTGAAAAGAACTACGTAGAGGCCTAGGCCTAATTAGTCAGTCTTGGAATCCATCTATGTCTCCATAATGTGACTAAATTTTCTTTAAAGAAAACACTAGCCTATTGACTACAGAATCATATTAGCCTAAATATTTTTTATAGTCAACTATAATTTTGTTAATCAACAATGTTCTTTTATCTTCTTCTTCTACGTATGTTAGGTAGGCTACTCTCTTCACTTTACCTGAACTTAGCGCAGCAGACTAGCAGCACAATATTGATAGACCTACCGGTTGCTTATTCTAGTTGTAGTGAATGTGAAGTGACGCCATTAGAGCCTAATGGAGCAAAAATAATATACCGGTACATTCTATCAAATTTTCATTGTCCATCTTGGTGATTGTTATAAACAGTAGGTACCTACTTAAAATATAAATACAGTACGGTAATTTAGATACGGTAACAAAAAACAATATTTTTTAACCTTAAGCACATACGTCACGTACGTCCGTCAGGCAACCGTACAATCCAAAAATATCAGGGGGAAGAAATCTGAAATTGACTGACGGACCTGCATCTGATCTGTGGCGGATGAGTGTAGATAGCCAATAGAAAATCCTTTTGGAAAAGAAAATTTTTGTTACTGTGTCTGTGACGCAACTTGTTGTGACTGAACTGTGCCGAGCTGTTACTGATGTGCGTAAATCGACCTTCATCCTTTACTCATATTTAGCCTAGGTTAAAATACGTGCACCTAGGTGGCGTCCCCATTTCAACTGATGATAGTAATAATAGCCAATAGCCAATAATACAACAGTGTTAAATAACTTTGTTAACTTTACTGTAAAACGACTGATCCCAAGTTTTTTTTTTTTTCAGATGGTCAACTTATAAGGAAGAAAAGCCAGAATCATGTATGTACATAACACACTTTTCTCTTTCTCTGTGTTGTAGATTTGTGTTTTTCTGTACCTATGCTTAAGACCCCACAACTGATGCAATGTCAAGTTTTGTTGACATTGACAGGGCTCGGTTTTGCTAAGAACTAAATAACAGGGTTTTGGAAAATAGATGTTAGTATTATAGGGTCAATATAACCTTTTTGTATCATGTTAATGTGTATTAAGTAGCATATAATCAATCCATTTATTTACTTATACGATAGGTGCAAAAACCATAAGGTTTGTCTGTACCGACAAGGAATAGTTATTTGTACTAGTGCTTTGCGCTCACGTTACACATTATATTTTTCCTACATTTTAGGTTAGGTTTAATCCAAGCGTTGAATGTCACATGCATTGAGAATGTTAACATGAAACAACAGGTTAAGTTGTAGCATCAATACTCAAAGGCTGTGAAACGCTGCACAAGCTGATCGTCTTTAGGTGTTGCCAACTTATTTTCAAGCGTACACGTATTACGTGCCTTTTAAATGCACACTTTTTGGTGTTGATTGGTTGAAATACTGGAGTACTGTACGGTACGGCAAAGTAAAATGAGTGTAGCAAATTAAAATGTGTGCAGCAAAAGGAAGCTGCAATTAGCTACTTTGCGTCCTATAGTCAGTACAAGGAAGCCTGAATTGCCAGTTAACTGTAGGGAAAAAAACATTTTTCAAATTAATAACAAATTGTAAGTTTAATCAGCATTCAAAACAGTTCTTTGACTGCCCTACACTATTCCACTAACTATTATAGGACTATGCATAATCTATATATTTAATACGCGACATGGAACATGTGAACAATAAGGCTTTTTTGTTTTAAGATTTAACCCCACATATTATATACCAAAATGTTCGTCTAGGTGTGTAGATGTGCAAACTGGCTTTAGATTTTCGAAATATATCTTTTTAAGGGCATGGGCTGCCCTCAAAGTTCCTTCCATAAGGATAACATAGTGATTGATTTTAATGTTATTATATTTTGAAACATATGTCAATACATTAGTAAAATAATAAATAAATCCCAGCTGTTTTGTTTGGTTTTGAAATGTAAACAGTTTGCATGTTTTTAAAAATAATGAGAAACCCGGCAAAGAACCTATAGGACATGACGGGTGGCAAGTTTTACATTTTATTTTCGTTTAAACATACCAAGGACCCGATGACAAAGAAATATTGCCGGTCGGACACAAATACAAGAACTCAGCAGCATTCACTTGGCGAGATGGCTTTAAAATGTTATAAATGTGATGTGCTACATTTTAAAAAAGAACAAAGAGGACGAGGTGAAGGATTTTCATCCTGCTGCCATAAAGGAAAAACGAATCTAACACCATACCGAGAAAGCTATTATATCCAGAGCCTACTAAATGGAGCAAATTATTTGAGCAGGAACTGCAAAGAGAACATTAGATCGTTCAACTCTGCGCTCGCAATGGTCAGCACTCGAGCTAAAATTGAAGAACAAAACTGTGGAGGGCCTTGTTAAGGTTCACGACACAATTTATCACTCAATTGGCACCTTTCAACCGTCAGAAGGGGAGCATCCCACATATGCCCAAATTTATATCTACGACGTCGAAACCGCTGTTCAAGAAAGAATGCTAAATAAAGCTAATAGATCTTGCAGCACTGAACTCATGCACATTTTGACTCAACATTTGGTTGATATTAATCCATACACGCAAGTTTTCAGCATGATGAGCTCCGTCCTGCAAAATACTCCTACTGAACAGCAAAAAGAACTTAGGATGCATATAGTCAAGGATTGAGCTCAAGACCAACGTCGATACAACGACGCAACTTCTAACGACGTTGCTATGATATCCTAATTTATTATTCGTGCGAATTCGCGCGGGTTCACCTAGTTTCAATTATTAACAAACCACTGATACTTAATTTTAAATTTCAAAAAAAAGCAAAAATAAATATATTTAATAATAAATTAAAACAGCTTAATAGACTATAATTAACAATATCTAATAATATATAAACAGAAAGTAGAATCACATAGTTTCAAATTAGAATTTGTTTTAAAGTACCGGTGGTTAGGCCTAGATTAAAACCTATAATAGGCTAGGTAGTACTGTAGTTAGAAGTTAAGTCTATGTGAGATCACTTGTATGTTCTATCAACTTGACTCAATGTTCAAATCTCTTAAAGTACACGTTTATCCTTTATTTAGATTGATTCAAGAGGAAATTTAAAGAAGAGTAGTTCTTGCTCAACAATATATCTGGATGACAGCACAGTATCACAACCTAACCTCAAAAACACTGTGAAATGTGTCTCTCTGGCCATATACTACCATATAAAGAACCGGACCTCAGAACGACATATAGACATATTTGACGAGAAATCGCATCCTTTAACAGTGAGTAGTGTACATTAATATTTTATGCGGCTGTTCGGGTAGCTTTGTGTATTGACCTTTTTTACAGTTTTAATGATTTAAGATGATTTTAAGATTTAATGATGTTGTGTCATTAAAAAATTATTCAGATAAAGTTGTTTATGTTGAAACTTTCTTTTAAATTAGCTCCATGTGAACGTCACGATGTTTTGTTTCAGCCAATTTCACCTACCGGGGAAAAAGCTATTTAACTTATTAAGTTTACCATACGTAAGACATAGACCCAGGTTCAATTTACTTTTTCATTTTGGGTAACTATGAGGATGTGTCTGTGATCATGGGAGATGGTGTTTGTAATTTTGTGTATCATTACCATAATTTTCAAGAACATTTTCTCAAGATTCTCAAAACAAACTAAAGTTTCTCTTGTTTTAGGGGGGTGGGAATTCTGTCCTGTTTTGTCCCAAAATCGGGAAGGGGATAAAAAACCCTTCCCAAACTCAAAGTAATATCCTATCCATCCTCACTTAAGACCATTTGATGACATTTATGGACACCTTTAACGTGTATGCTGCAAATTATTGTTATTTTTAAGCAACTTAATAAAATATGTCTCATATTCTTTTTTAGATGAAACCTATTAAATGTACAGTCAGTGTTTATTTCAAAAATGTGATTAACACCCAATTTTTTAAAATTTATTTCCAGTTTGGGTTGAAAAGTTTTGAAAAGTGCCAAGTTTATTTTTATGTTCAAACTCACTATTAGTGTAGATTTTTAGCTTCCATTGTTAATACCATCAGCAATTCTCCAAGATTTAACTCACAATCAGTTTGCATTCCGTTTATGTTTACATTTCACGTGAAGGGAACTGTAACAGTGCCAGTGTAATCATTTCCTTGTATTTTCTGTTTACGTCAATTATATTTTTAGATGACTACTTAGCACAATGGGAATGTTGGAATCTTGTCAGCAACTTCTTCCTCATATAAACTATCTTGCGGTTGTTTCAATGATTGAAAGTTAATTCCATGTTGATGCGTTTTTAGGAAAAGCTAGCCTTTTTTTAGTTTTTTCGGGGATATTATTTGACAGTGAAGTTATGGTTATCTAATGCTGCACAATGTGTTATCAAGTCACAAAAAATTTTGTATTAATTTATTTGTTTTTAAAATTTTGTGATGTATTTCTTATTCTGTTGGATTATTTTATTTGCAATATTGTAATGTTGTGGACACATTATTTTACTAGTCTTACTAGTTCGATTTTCAGTTCAATACCAAGAAAAGTTTGAAAGGTACTTTGAACGTTTGTAACTGGACCCAACTGATACAGATGATGAGGCTTTTCAAATAACGTTAGCTAATGAATCTATGGTTCTTAGTCCCTCACAAATTGATAGGTGCTTTTAGATTAAAATTAATTGTTAGTTAAATTTACATACATAAATAACAATTGCACACATATTATAAAGGCACGATTTGAATAAATAACAACCCCATTGTATACAGTATTAAACATAGATCTATTGAAACTTTTGTGGTATTCTTTATGCCAATAAATTGAACAAAATATTTATTTCACGAAATATATTTTTTTTAAAGTAACATAACAACTTGTTTTCAACCTAGTTAAAAAAAAAATGAACAACTGTCGGAAATATTACATAGCTTAGTTTTTTTTTACATTGTTAATATCAAACTTTTAATTTAATATTATTTCAAGTAACTTTTAACTTTGTTGTATAGAGAGACGGAGTTCCTGACGATTACGATAAGCACAACCCCGAGCACAGGCAGATATACAAGTTTGTCCGAACACTGTTCAACGCAGCTCAACTGACGGCTGAGTGCGCTATCATTACGCTAGTGTACCTGGAAAGGTGATGGTTATAGTATTGTAAAGTCTGTTGTGATTTAATGGGGTCTAAGGACAAGTCTGAGATATATGTCATGTAACTGTGAGACAATTAGAGAATGAAAGCTACATTTGGCTGTAATGTAGACCAACGTTCCTGCAAAAAAATTGATTTCATTACGTTCTAAAGAATTCATACTTTTTTTATCAAATCCTTAAGGTTTGATCCAAGCCATTAAGCACGGATATTTTTTTGCATTTTATAGTCAATAACTGGTACTGTACTCTTAATCAAGTGAGGTTAAATTTCTTTTATATTGCATCATTTGCTAGATTTTGCCCTTATGAGTATGGAATTGCAAAAGATGCAAAAACATACAATTTTGCTATTTCAATATTCTCTAGCATGCTATGTAAACTATAATTCTTCAAACGCAATACCAGTAGTTAAAAATTTTGTATTTGTAAGTTGGTAGTGCGACATAGTTTTGTTATAGTAACTTGGCAGTGTAGGCCTATTATAAGTTTGAGTTTGGATCACTACTATTACCTCATCAATAGGCTACTATTCAATCATCTTCATATAAGTAGGTAAAGATAGGCCTTCTTAAAATTCTTCATTTATTGTTCTGCTTTAACCCATACAACATTTTTAGGAATGTATTATGCAAAGGCGGCGATAGTGGACCCTGCGGGCCCAGGGTGCAAGGGGCCCGGCAAACCTTAACCGGGATTATTATTTTTTTGGCCTTTGGGAAACTTTATTGGGACTCGGACTAGGACCGGGCCCTGCCATTTGGGGCATCATAACAATATATTACCTCCATCATATATATATATTTTTTTAATATTATAAATATTACCCATAGGTTTTTATGGCAAAAAATTGTTAAAACCAGTAATAGCACAAAGACAAGTAGCTTACAACTGCTAAACTGACACAACTTGGCCGGTTGATAGAAATTCTTAATAGAGAAATGTTCATAATTAATCAATATCCTACTCGTTTTAAAAATAATTTGAAATATCCAAGACATCGCCTCTGTATGAAAGATCACCATTTTATATGAGTCTCAGGCTTTACAACAGTCTACCTACCAAATTCAGACAAATTACCAGTATATCAAAATTCAAAAGCGAGTTTAGAATGTATCTCTTACAAAAACAGTTTGAATCTGTATCTGAATATTTAAATAACAGTTAAACATTTTTCTATTACATTTATTTAATTTATAGGAATGAATTGTAAATCTAGTTTTAATAATGGACAATGTCACCTGTTTCATCAGCATTGCTGAAAAACTTGAAATGTATTGTGACAATAAAGGAATATTTCATTTCATTTCAATAGAGAATATCGATTATCGAGCCGAGTGGAGCCTAGCCTACAAGCTTCTGAAAAAAATTCAGAAAATCAATCAAGCTCGAGCTGAGCTTTTACAACCCCGATAACATTGTGTCTGCAAAACGCGTCTACGAAGACCATACCCAAGTGATTGCAAGATTTTTCTGCGATCAGGGATACCGATGAGAACATTCCCGGGGGTTGACAATGACAATGTCTCCGCATCCACTGGAGATGTTAAATATTTTGCCTCAGTTGCGGTAGACGATAAAAATTATTGATGCCCAGACAACCGTGGGGTTCAGGATTTTGCTGCCTTAGAGGAAGACGACATCAATGTTTCCGTGACCGTTCGAGATATTAAACCTTTGAGTGCTGCAGTGTCATGCCTATTACTTATGCATAAATCCGAACTAATTTCAAAGGAAATGCAGTAGTTTATATAAAATGTCATATAAAATATAATTTTAGAGGTATCTGGATTCTTTTAGCGAATTTCCAAAATAGGGAATTAGCTATTACCGTAGTACTCATGGTGAGACCTGGACCTGGAACCGATTTACTTTTTCGTTTTGAGGTCCCTAGATGCCAAAAACACCAACCGTTCAAATTCATATATATGTGTCCGTTAGCACGATAACTGGAGCAAAAATGATCCGATTTTGATGAAATTTGGTATAAACATGTAAACCTACATTTTAGTTCGAACGAGTTTGCGAACGAGCATGGTCGGACCATGGGAACGGGGTTTTATGAGGTAAATTTGGTTTTTCTCATTTTTGACACTAAAAACATAAAACTTAATAATTTCTTTCTAAACCATTTGTAGATAGTATATTGAGGCGTTATTATGCGCCTAATGGTTACGGAGAAAATTCCAAAAAATTTTAGGCCTATATTTAAAATTCCCATGTTATTCTCATGGAGAACTGTTGTTGTTTGCTTGTCCAATAGGAGAGGCATAATATAGCATGTACAAGATCCTCCTCCCGTGTTCAATATTTTTTCTTTGAACTTGAGGCATTTTCTGTTCTTTAAAAAAACTGATTAACTGTTTAACTTGGTCTTGGTCTTAACCTACTGAATATACAAACATCAATATTTACTCCCAAAAAGCTAATGAGTTTCTTTTTATAAACAGCTGTTTTTTTGTTTTTAAATTTGTTCTATGTATTTCTTATGGGAAAACCCCGACCTTTGAGAGGGTCTCACGCCCTTATGAGCAGGACTTTTAAAGTTCTAAAACCTTATTGCAAAACTACATATTGAGACGAATCTTTTGACACCTCAAACGTTGAAATTGGTCCACAAATAAGGGAGGAGTTGCGTTAACAAAAAACGGCTTCACGTATTATATATAGCATGTATGTTTCATTCATTGTGGACGTAGTTTTACAAGAACCCAACAGATAGCAGCACTAAACAAAATTGCTAGTAGGCCCTCAGTATTGCCATATGGAAGGAAAAAGCAGGGAGGAAAAATCCAGGGACGAATAACCCGGATACACCACAAAAAAATATTGCAAAAAAGGTGCAAGCACAGTTCACTAAATCCAAGCCAAACCCCCACACTACACTAAATTTGTAACAGTCCCCTTCGGATAAAATAATCAAATCTGAAAACTAATTATACTGGATTGAAGAATAAATATAAAACTGGCACAATAAGCAGCAGTCGGACACAACTTTCCCTGTGCCAAGCTCAGCTCACATTGAAGCAAGATTGTTGTTATGGGAGGACGACATTTTCCGCCCAGTGCCAGTGGTGCCAATACTGTGAGATGAGAATTTGCTGCCATGCACACTTGACGTGTTAAAGATTTTGACACAGAATACAATGATGATTGAAGTTTTTTCCCGCAAGAGATATTAAGGATTTTGCTGCGATTGCGGAAAAAAATATTATGTCTCTGTCACCGTGGGAGGTATTAGGGATTTGGCTGAAATCGCGGGAGACGATGATGTTGTGTACATATTTGCAGATATACTTTTGGCTGCAATCACAGTATACGATGATAATGTTTACATGACTGTGGGAAGTATTCACGATTTTGCCATGGTCATAGAGGACGATGATAATATTTCCATGACTTATGAAGATATTCCAGAATTTGCCACCATCATGGAAGATGATGATGACGCCTTGCTGCCTCAGGAGATGCCATGCCAAGCCAAAGTGCAATATTAGTTTTAAATACCTGTAATACCGGTAATGTTTTCAAAGATTATTGGTAGAGGGGGGGCGAGTTGGTGAACAAACTTGCGGATGGCCCACACGCTCTTATCGCTGCCACTGGTATTATGACTTTCATTGTTACAACTGTATATCTGACTAGCTGTACCCGCGGGCTTTGCCCCGTCGCTACACTAACTCGCCTCCGGGTTGAAGTTCGTTCGCTACGCTCACTCACTTTTGGTTTAAAATTAGCTGTTGTAAAATATTAAAAAAATAATAGTGCTGCACTCTGTTGGTAATCCTTGTAACATTAATGCTATTTAACATCATAGAACAGAACCAACTTGTTTAATTAAAACTAGGGATGGTCAAGTCTCGAAATTTCGGGAAATTTTCGGGAAATTTTAAATCTTGTTACACGAGACAAGATTTCTTTTTGGCCGAGATTTTTATCAAGACGAGAATAAAAAAAAAAAAAAATTAAATTTAAAAACGCCTGCAGAAAGTCAATGCAATACCCGCAATACAGGAGCGTGTTGTAGTTGCGTTTCCTTTGCGAAGGCGTTCTTATTTAATTAATTCTTTAAATGTAAATATTACTTTAATTATTTAAATAATATTACTTTAATAACATTTGAGAAGTTTTGTTAAGTGTAAGCAGTGTGAGGAATGTTTTATTACTATAAAAAGTCAAAACAATTAACTATTTTATAAAAATTAATATTGCTTTTATTTTATGATTTATTTTATTTTAGGATAAGTTGAACTCTATCCTACCTGATATCACTATGTTTTCTAATCGTAGGCATTTTTAATAAGTTAGGCGTGATTAATAAAAAAATGTTATGCTGATGTTTTTTAATAAAATATTGTAAATATTCTTGCCTATTATCATTATTTTTGTATTTAAACAGTCATCTAACAATGTTACAAAATCAGGTAAAAATTTTGAACGTGTATTTCCCGTTGTGTATGAGAAGGGAAATCCCGTCTCGATCCCGTCTCGAAATTTTATGAGAAATAAAAAATCTCGTCTCGTCTCGTCTTGAACTAAAAATCCAATCTCGTCCATCCCTAATTAAAACAGCTGTTAAGATTCATTAATTCCATTTAAATATGAGTACTCATTAGGTTAACATGGAAAACTCTAGAACCACTGGGGCGGAGCCCGAGAGTCCGATCAGAATAAAAACCACTTAGTTGTCCTATTTAATGCCTAAAGAATCAGTGTACCAAATTTCAGCCTCCTAGGTAAGTGGGAAGTGGGAGAATTAGTGATGAGTGAGTGAGTCAGTCAGTCAGTCAGTCAGTGAGGGCTTTGCCTTTTATATATATAGATTCAAATGTTTAGCTACTTTTTTTTGGTAATTATTGAAATGGGTTGGATTTTTTGTATTGACACAGTTTGTTGGTTACTTGTAGGTTACTGACATACGCGGAGGTAGATATCACTCCGGCCTCGTGGAAGAGGATTGTTCTAGGAGCCATCTTGCTGGCGTCCAAGGTGTGGGACGATCAGGCGGTGTGGAACGTCGACTACTGTCAAATATTGAAGGATATCACTGTTGAGGACATGTGAGTACTGTCAGTTCATCAAGAAATTGTAGTTTTGAAAGTTTTTAAGCTTTGAATGTCATGAAATAGAGTTTCTGTAGTTTCTGATATTGAATAAAGAATGTTTTGACTAGACTTGAAAAAAATAGCGATCTCTAACCCTCCGAAAAAAGGTGAAAGAACCCTAAAATTTAACTTGTCAACTTCCATAAATGTATAGGGACAGAATAGTTATATATAAAACTTTAACCTAACACATCATTTATACAGTAAAACCTCACTATCTGACAGTCAACAGCTGATAGGGTGCACGTCTAGCTGCTTTCGTCTTACTAGTGCGTTGAACTTTTCTAGTAATTTCATGGGAACATTTACTTTTAATTGTTGAATATTCAAACAATTTTTGAAGATTGTTTATTCAATATATAAAAATACTCATGTAAGTAATAAATTTGTTTATTCAATATATAAAAATACTCATGTAAGTAATAAATTTGTTTATTCAATATATAAAAATACTCATGTAAGTAATAAATTGAACTGTAACAATTAGTCTGTATCTGTTTATAAAAACCAGTTTAATAATGCAATGTTCTGGATAACTGGACAAATTGCTGAATTAGTGAGCTTTTACTGTAACTGGTATGGGATATTTTAATGGCAACAATAATATTTAAAATCTGTAATTGAAATTGTTGCGTTTGAAAAATATCTGAAGTAACTCATGGATGGTTTATACTGAACTTATAATATCGGTCCCAGGAACGAGTTGGAGCGTCAGTTTTTGGAGATGCTTCAGTTCAACATCAATGTACCTTCCAGTGTGTATGCCAAGTACTACTTTGACTTGCGCACCCTCGCTGAAGCCAATGATCTAGCTTTCCCCGGAGAACCGTTGAGCAAAGAGCGCGCCACCAAGTTGGAAGCCATGTCTCGTATCTGCGAAGAAGCCCTCAAGGCCGGCCTCAAGAAGTGGTCGAGTCTCGACAACGTCAACAACTCTGCAGCAATACCGAGGAGAAGCATCGCCATTTTGTCTTAGTACGCTTCCGTCCCGTCAATGTTAGTCTGTGACTCATCACTCGACTCTGTATCAGTTGTGAAAGTCCATACCTTGCTATTAGTACTTCTAATCATATCATCTGGTATAAAGGAAAACGTAATATTACCTTGTTTAAACACAGAGATTTATGATTTAAATATTAAATTATTTGTAGGTCCTTTTTTTATTTTGTATAAATTATCCCTGAAAGCATAAACTTTAAAATAAAAGTTTAAGATAATTTTGTAAGGAAAAAAATATAGGAATACTAATTTGAAGTATTAATAGAATATTTTGTTATTTAAAACGCATTTTAAATTCATTGGAGGTTTAATAGCAAGCAGTTTTAATGAAAAAAATCGCTAATTCTCTATTTTGTCTCAAAAACATTCCCTCCAAAAGTTCTATAATGTTTATACAAGAAATGCATTATGTGAACTTCATTTTACATTGAGACAATCTAAACTTAACAGCTACCAACTCCTAAATAATTTAATCTTTAAACACATTTCACCTGATTCTCCACCATCTTACTTTTAAATTTTCTAGTAGAGTTTTAAATTATCTTCTAATATTTTATACAACTTTAGATCTTTACGTAAATGTTTTGATGTGAAATAAAATATACTGACATCATTTTTTCATTTTCATAGATCGTGTGGAGTAAATAACCTAAATGTACAAACTCTACTCCAATCATCGATTTGAACAATTTATTGCAGATACAAAGTAAAAATCTCTATGTGTTGATTGAAGGTATTGTGAGCCAGGATTCAAGCTGTAGACCGACTGAACCATAATGGTTAATCGATCACATAAATGGTTAATGTGACAAATAGTCGACAATCGGTTATTCTTTTGGATCAGTATAGTTTAAAAGTTTGTGTAACAGAGATTATTAAATTTAAGTGAGCATGCATGACTTGCTCAGATAATTTTCTACCTGAATCCAGACTCACAAAGAGTGGATATAACTGTTGTGATGTCTATAGTCAATGTCAACTGATTATTGAGTGGTGTGTGAGTTTTAGACTAGGCAGACTGATGTATATATGTATAAAGGCTCGTTGGAAGGATGGTGCATTTTCAGAACTGTTCCTAACACGTGCTTCCTCCCCTTCGGTGCTACTCAGACTGTACATTTGCATCGTCCGTAACACTGATGCCGCCACATTCTTTATTTTTCACAACTCGTCAGCAATAATATATCCTTTATGCTTTCTCCATGTTTTGAGATAGTAGAAGTACACAGGGTGAGAATCAGAAAATTGGTCATTGTACCTGACAAAATATATTCTAATTGTATTTGAATATCGATATTCTCACCATTCAATTCCATACTAGTGTTATATTTAAGCTGGGTTGTGATACGAGGTTTGTAAGAGATGACCACGAGATTGTGATGTAATTTAAGGCTAAATGACTTTTGAGGTTGTTAAGTTATGCTCAAAGCTGGCCCCCTGTCCCTCGCCTATTGCAATCTGCATGAAAACGTACGGCATAAGCTATGTTTTAGTGTAAGCCTCAGAGCGGTAAAATTTATATTTGGTACTAATAATGTATTTATTATATAGGCCTAGTCAAAAATACCAAAGGGCTCCACAGTGAAGGAAGATCTTGTATAGTAGGCTTAGGCTATTTTCTTTCGAGTTTATCACTCGTACGTGCCTTTTCAAGCTCATGAGCGAAAGCATGCTAGTCTGCAAGTCATTGTTTCACACAACCGAAACTATCAACGATTTTACCTTGTTGTTATTTTCTTTTACCTAACATATTTTTATTTTAAATACTCAAAGCCGACTTGTGTGTTCTGGTAATATTGATTGAAATATTTCAACAAATTATGATTTACATACACCAACTTGTATGTTGCATGTAATAAAGCCAGTCTACTATTTGAGCTAAACATATTGTTAAATGATCTTATATGTTGAGAACTACAAGTATTATTGTTAACTCTTATGTGAATTAATTGCATAAGCAATGTATTCACATAAGAGTTAACAATGATACTTGTGGTGAATATAGGATATTTGTAGGATATGTGAAAAACATTGAATGGTCAATGTAAAACAGAAACTTAACAATAGATTGTGTTTAAACAAACAATAGAACTAAAAAACAAAATGTATCTACAGAATAAGAGAGATTAAGAGTAAGAGATTAATCAATTTTAAATAAACATCATTGTATCTGATTTAACCTAGGTACCAGTTTATCCTACAAATTTTAAGAAATATTCATTATTAGACTAGAACTATTTTATACTAATCTTTCTATTGAAGAATCTTTGTAAGAGTGAGCACAAAAACCCAAAAATTATCAATCCATTTCAAAATACATCAAATATTTGATGCTGCACATTTTAACATTTACAAATGTTAACGTTTGTACATATTTATCATCACTCTTTAATGAAAATAACCTTGTACATAATGAGGTAGCTATGTAGAAATGTTAAAAACTATGTCCTCAATGTGATTACCATTTGGTAAAGTTTAAATAGTTTTTTTATACTTTTTTCAAATCAGAATATAATATATCTTTCAACCATGTACAGTATGTAAATCTGGTATAAGTTAAGAGTAATATAATGATCTAACACCATTCTAGGATAATAATGGAGCACTAACCATTCCAATTAATTTGTACATCCGCCCTTTACCCTGTAGGTTGTAGTACAAAATCAAAAATTAACAAGAGTTGCCATGTCTATTTTAGGAAGTCTTAATACATTTTATAAATTATATGTACAAACTCCTCAAAAATTATACAGTTAGACTCCCGATTATCCCGATTGGATTAACCACAATCACAAAGGAAATATAATATGCAAATTAAATGCACGTTATACAGAAGGCCCATCAACTCATGGACAGACTATAAGAGTTGTTTTTTTTCTTCACTGACAGATGCGTCAACGGGTACAACCAATGAGTTGATAAATTACATTTTGTGTGTGTTATAATTTTTGTTACACATAAGTTCTTCATTATTTGTTTTGAAAATAGAAGCGTTTTGAAAGTTTCTATACTGGTTTCTATCCTGCATTTAATTTATTTCATGCATTTTTTTTTATTTCTTCTGGTTTCTACACTGCATTTAAAATGTTATATTATTACAAAAACCGGTATAAGGCTTAACTATAAATTCAAAGTCAATGTTAGTTATTTCCTGGCATTTTAGGTAAGGTTTTCACTCAGCCAAATAATTGTGGATGATCGAGAGTCTACTGTAATTGCAAGTTGAACGCATGTCCATTTTGAAATAGCTACATCAGCTCAAATGATGACAAGTAGACAACCAATTCAATATTAAAAATAAACTTAGAGGCAAATTTAATCATGGCCCTTGACTTCAAATCTATGGGTAATCTGTTAGAGTTTCTTATAGATACATAAAATGAGTTAAGGTATAGGGCCGTTTCAAATTCCCAATAAAGTCAATTATTCTATTTTTCTATATTTTTAAATTATATTTAATTGTGATTCAATAAATTATATATTTATTTTAAAAGTGTGTAGTTGGTCTAGAGGTCTCGCCATGATTCACTGGCTCATGTGTACATGATCAACTTAACACATTCACTACCAGAGAGACACTAAGGTTTGTCACCTTGTAGTGAATGTGTTAAAACTTGTCAAGAAGAACTCAATTCTGGTACTTTAATCTCCTTTCTTCAACTCAAAACCAAACAATATATATATATACTTAAATTCAAGCATACCAACTACAGTAGACTCCCTCTTATCTGAACACCTTTTAACCGGACATCGGTTTAACCAGACTACAGTCGGCGAAAATGACATCTCTTTAACCGGACAATTTTTATTAGCACTTTGGTTTAACCGGACTAGAACGGCAGGAAGAGTGGGCAGTACTGAAACAACTGTTCTCGTGGGAAAGATTTGAGACCAGTGATCACGTGTCTAAATACAATGCTCTCCTAAATTTAAGTCGAATATCACAGTAAACAGTCCGTTTTAACGAGTTTTTGGAGTCCGGATAAGAGGGAGTCTACTGTATTGGAAAAGTGTTACTGTGTAGATGTGCATCAACTCCCATGGAACTTTATCCATCCAACAGTTAAAGGTCCTACAAGTTTTGAGAGCCTGGCAAAGCTTTTAAGTTATGCATTAGAATGGGTTACAGCTCGTGACACCTAAGCTGGTACTTGGCCTAGCGCGGGCATTATAGGCAGAAGGAGGGTGGAGGTAGGGAAAAGACCGGACTGCAAACATTTCCGCTGCCTCACGGGGTTGACTCCCCTTGTATACTACCCCTTCACCCCCCCCCCCCCCCTACCCCTTGTACTTGAGCGCCTTCATATAGGTCGCGAGGACAGTTGATGCAACCCACATGACGGGACATAATGTTTTTGAAATAGGTACTAGTAGCGATCGGCCAAGTGCCAACTTAGATGTCACAAGCTGTACTGAGTTAAAAAATAATCAAACTCTTGATTGAGTCATTCATAGCTTTAGACTGTGATAGTAATGTACAGCTACATGCCAATGCTAATTTTTTTTTTTAACCTTCAGAAATTATTTATGTCATAAACTTTTTTTTGGTAATTTATTTACGGTCTCTTTACACTGGTTCACTTCAATATCGGGTCATAAAAAACTCCACTCCAACTTTAGAATTTTCTTATAACATGATAACCTTTAAAAATTGTGATTTTTTTTTATTGCACGTCTTTGTATACTGTGTCTAAACTTTAAATTATCTTCTTAAGGAAAATAATCAAATCTATTTGCTAGCCGAGGAGCATACAAGATCATTTTGATTTTGATTTTTAATACTTATTGCCAGCACTTGAAAAAAATCTTTACAGAACTGTATTTTTTATCTTTTCCACCAGCAATAGAAGTACATTGTCGTTTTGTAGTTTATTATCAACATTGACAAAGCAATTTTAATGAATTGCTCAGGGAAAAAATTAAGATTTTACAACGAGGTTTTAACTTAAATAGAAAACAGATGGGTTGATAACCAGATTTGGTTTTCACTAGTTAAATTATGAGGTTTCTCAAAACATTGTTATTTAAAATGAGTATTTCCCTAATAGAATGTTAAACCTATAAACATTTTTAAACCCACAATGGCACTTATTATTGTTTAGAGATATTCTCACCAAGTTCCACCACCCTATCATAATATTATCTCATATATGTCACTGCCAGGTTAATTCTGAGGGGTTTAAAAATAGTTTCGCAAATTTAAAATACACATTAGAATAAAGTCCAAGAGATTAATTGATATATGTAATGTATTATAGTATTGTATATTAACATGTAAATGGTTATGTGTATGGTATAATTTAGCTAATTATATAATTCATTGACTGTTATTCCATGTATGTTTTAAATACATTTGGTATGTACAATAATTATTCTGTTTTATTATTTGTTTCATATTCCTTTGCATCGTAATTTTAGAAGTGCAATAGATTGGTATTGAAAGTACAATTAACATTTAGACATCTGCCAGCCCTAGCTCCTCTACTGCCTCTGCTCCTACCACGTCTAGAAGTACTAGAACTACTACCTGTAGGTACAGCCCTAGTCATAGGTTCAGAGTCAGATGTCTCATAGTTGGGCGTTTGCCTAGATCTTGGTATGAACAAAGCTAGCCTATTATGCTATTACCTAGTGATGGAATTCCTGACGATGTACTAGATTGATTAGGTTGAAAGTTGCAAATTGTCCAATTGTACCCTCGCTGACTGGTGAGTTAGAACGTTATTTGTCTCCCGTATTACTCCATAATAGCATAAAGTCAATGATAATAGTAAACAACAATAACCTAAATAATTGTAATAACACGCAACATTATAAACACACATTCCGCATTTGTAAGCAAAGCTTGTCACAACTGTAGTAGTCTGCTACTACGTAGCAAGCGGCAGACGCCACTGTCACGTAGATTCACATCATCACTATGGCACATGCACTATATAATTTGTTCCCTTTTAATTTGCCCCATTCTGCATGAAAATATTAAAATAATTAACAGCAGAGATATTATTGTAAAATCCGATATATCAGATCTACGATAGCATTTATCGTGAAACAGCTGTGATCAGATTTATCGGATCATTGCACCGAAAGGGTTAAAGAATAGTAAGGCAGTTTCAAAATATTTACACCATGAAGAAAACTATGCTGAAAGTATTTTGGATTCTTAAGCCAATTGTGTTAGTCAATCACCTGAAACAATTTTACATGCAAAGAATGAATAGACATGTTAACTGTGAAAAATTTATTTATTTAAGGCATTTAAAGCTTCTTTATATAGCACACAATCAGTAACTTATATTGCCGTTTCTTCAATGTACAAATATACAATAACATATTTACAAAAATATATAACCATGCTAAATTCACATATACACAAATCATTTCAACAATTCAATAAGTAATATACATTGTGATCTAGAATTATTTATCAAATAAAACACACATTTTTTATCGTTTGCAAATTTTAATGATTATGGAATGTAAAAAGTTAAGTTGTTTATAAAATTTTATTCAAATAATTTCTTACTGAAAAACCTTTTGTGTTCATTTACCAAAATGTTGTCTTGAGTAAAATTCATAAGCAAAAATTTTAGAATAGGTTTGCAGTTACTTAAATTGTTGGTTAATTACCACTGAAATTAAATAGCATTTGAATAATGAAATGGAAACACGAATAACAAGAATTTATCATACTAAGAGATTTTTCCCACTTTGAAGAGGTACGGTATATTATATTATGATTACTAAAACGAAACAATAAATAACTGTCTTTTATGGCAGAGAGCTTTTGATACAAAATTTGAATACCACCTCTGCAAATTTAAACTATCCACTTATTCCCCTTCCTTAACAATTTGCTGCAGCCAAAACTACTATTGATTTTAAATTAGTGGTCATTTCAAGGAGAGGGTTGCAACTCTTTGACAGAGTGCTGTGCAGTTAGGTTAGTTAAGTTTAGTTAATAATAATGACAATCAATATAACATTTATCAAATTTCTAAACACATGAAAAAATGGATACAAATACAAATTGAAGTTTTTTCTAAATCTTACCTTGTTTTTCATTGAAACCAACCTAACCTAACTCCCGCAGCGCACTATGATAGAGTAGTGGTGCCCTTTTTAAAAGCCCCAAAAACTGATTTAGATTTTGAAACATTCCAGAGGTTAGGAATGTTTAATGTAAAAAACTAATCTAGTTGTTGAAGAGCGAAGAGGTAACTGGGCGAGGCGAGGCAAGGCACTGAGTCGTTCACACGGTGATGAGGCGTCCTGAGCACCACGGGCAAGGATGGAAGTTAATGTTGGTGTTGTCGGTAGCGGAAGTAACCAAGTTGCTGGACCCGATCTCTGTTAATAAACTTCTTATCTGCTCGGCCGTCTCTACCTTCCCGGTAGCCTGGCTTGCCTCCGGGGGAACACTGGAAGCGTCCTCCGTCTCAGGAAGTTCCGACTCTGAAAATGAAAGTTACAATGTTTGTGGAAAAGAGTTCAGCAAGTTTATATGAAATGGTTTCTGTTACGCTTGCGTTTTAGCAAATTTCCCATATTTTAAATTAAAATAGGCTCAAAAATAAGCACAAACAATGAATTTGAAATAAAGAAAAAAAATTGGCATGATCTTTGTGGGTTGTTATTCGGTGATAAAATAGCAACAAAATATAAACAGAAAATCAAAAGAAATGGACAAAGCTACAATCACATAAATGCAAAATTTAATTTCTTATAGAGTATACACATATTCTTATAGCAGCAATCCTAGGTACTCGTTAAAACTAAATGTTATTTAAGTAGATTTAATTGAAAATCAATTCAGAAAAATAGAAATTCGCTTAGTCGGCAGGTTTGCTGCGGCAGGGGTATTTTATTTCAAGCGTAGGGTGAAAATAGAGAAGCCTGTACATTACTTTTGGTTGAGTTTTCAACCACTGGACGGCCACTAGTTAAAATTAAATAATTGATCTACAACCAAAATTTATTGTTATTAGGCCATAGTTTTAATCAAACGTGTTATATAACCTTAGCATGTGCTTTAGTTACAATTTATTCTCTTGACTTTAAGTTAAATGCTGAAATAAAATATTTTTTAACTGAAATTTTGACTATTTAAAACATACAATCCCCCTTTATTAAAATAAGTGAAGAGGTTTTCCATACTTCCTTCAGAAGAAGCCCCCTTGTAGGAAAAATAATAAATTAATTCATTGTGTTACAAACGTTTTGTGAGCTGTCAACTACCTGGAATTCTTTTCATGGGTAAGTTAGTTGTGTATTTGTACGTTCTTCCTTAATGTAATCGAGAAATCTTTAGGTGACTAACAAGTGAGGTTGCATTTACAGACATAAAAACACGTGGGTTAGCTGTTAGTAAATGTTTTGTAAAACCATTTTGAAATGTTATTACTATGCCCAATAAGACAAAACAAGACACACAATTGTACTTCCCAAGCCCCCAACAACACAAAGTGCTTTAACAAGCAAAAGTAAAATAGTTCTGTCCTTGATAAACAAATATTAATTTTACCTATTTCAAATGAACATCCAAAGTTCCAAAGATTAAATGTCAACCATCCCAAGCTCAAGGTGCAAGGAGCATTCTTTTGAACACATTAATTTTACCCTTTTGAAATTCCAGGGACGGAGTTGTGATGCAAGATTGATTCTAATCAATGACCTTATTAAAAGAAATATCGACAATTACCAAAATTTCTTTAAGGCAGTGTTTCAAGTAGGCCTACATAAAAGAAATATTGTAAAAAAGCCATTTTGGAACAAAATGAAAATACTGAAGTGAACAAAGTATTACTTAAGTTCAACCCTGTCCACATTTTCATACCTGCTAGCATGAGTTTTATCTCAATTGTCAACAGATTAACAGTCCAATGGATTATCTTCACAAGATCCAAAATCAGAAGATCCAAAGGTTATACTTGGGATCAGAAGATCCAAAAGTACAGTCATTACAAGAAGTAAACATTTACATCGTAAAGTAAACTTACGAAAGAGACTGAGGTGGTTAGCATTTTTGCAGTTAATGTTTGCACAGTTTTTGTTTTTAGTCCCTAGCATGATATTAAGAGGTTAAGGTCTACATCCGAAAGTCAGTCATTTACAATATTATCCCCCATAAGAATAACATGGAGAGAGATTTTAATGTTTTGGGTGATTTAAAATTTGAAAATGATTCTTTTGAGAATTTTCCTGGGATTTTGGGCCCGAGACCAAAGTGTTCTAAAATTTGTATACCAGAGTCAGTCAGTGATTTCATTAAATTTTAAATTATTAGTTTAATACCACAGGTGCAGGACTTCTTACAATATTCTTTTAAAAGTATAATGTGTGTAGTAAAATGCCGTTTCGTGCATATTTAATATACTCAGTGCTCGATTTGTAAAAAAAGAGTTGCCGGAAGTGTAGCCTATTTAATGTGGTTTGTACCTATTTATGCCAATATTTTTTATCCTCCCGAAAGAGAGGTATCTCCGTTCCCCCGCAAATTGAGCACTGTTTTTAATGTTCCTAATTTGTGAGATATGAAATTATCTCAAAAAATCCTGTTTTTAGATAGAACGCGCCCCATGTTTCTTCTCCCCCTTCCGCCATGTTGTGCACCTGCTGGGAGGGCAACAACATCGGTTTTGGTAATCTCCAAGATCACCCCAACAACAATGAGAAGTTTAAATACATAAAACTGTCCCCTATACTCAGCTCCCATTGATGCTGGACTAGCTAAGCTCATTCAACTATCTTTTTTTTCGATAACAAAATCGGCTACAGCTGGTATATACAGATTAAATGTCCACTTCAATATCCAAAAGTAAAATTTCAAACACATGTTCTGTGGCAGCTACCGTATCCATTATGGTGGTGGTCCCCAGTGCATCCCCCACCGACCAGCTGTTGCACCAGCTGATTCAGTTGAGCCAGCTTGTTGCGTAAAGCCTCCTTGTCTTGTGCCAACCGGGCCACTTGCTCGTCCTTCTCCTGCGCTCGCTGACGTAACATGCCTCGTTGGATCTGGTACAACGTGATGTACTCACCTTCAAAAAACAGATTGTATAAAAAATCAAGTATAGAGCTTCATCAAGTTTTGAATAAAGTAAACATGTTAAACTAAGTGACAAAGCCATTTGAAATTTATCATAATAAACAATGAATAGCAAAGGTGTAACGAGATAAAGTTGAGTGACAATGTTAAACAAGTTTTTTTATTAACAAACCAATTATTACTATGGAGCATGCTAAGACCTAATTTTGTAAAAGATTAATTCGGATTGGTAACAAAATGTAAAAATACCATTAAAAAAATTGTTAAACAATCACAGAAGTTTTTCACTTAACGACTTAATTTAGTCCAAATAACTATATTTCAATTTGTATTCCAAATATCTGAAAATACAACCTGATAGTCAATACAAAATAAAATTGTGTTTTCTCACGTTAACTTTTTAATATGTCTGTTAATTTCTGTGCAGCTATTAAGAAATTATAGTCCTAAATTGTATTAAATGTTACAGCCAGTTCAGAGAATTTCAAAATATTCCGTATTTCAAGGAACTTGCTAAATTAAGGTTTATAACATCCATATTTCATCAAGATATTGAAGAGTTAGTTGCAGTATGCTAATTATACATCCTCTGACAGTTACTCACCAATAGTCTCAGTCTCGCTCTGCAGCTGTAGCACCAGGTGTTCCAACCTCTGTTTCTCATCACTCAGGTTTGCCAACTCCTCCATCTTGCGGCGGAACTTGTCCTCCAGTTTGGACATTGCTTCAGGGCTCACTGACAACATAACAGGGCTACCACTACCACAGCAATATCCCACATACTGTCTCCTTACTTATGAAAAGTTCTAATCGGGTTTAACACTAATTTCAGGAACCTAAGTAAGTAATAGACAATAGACAATAGACAATTTTCTTTATTTGTGATTTCTTTAAGAAATACAATGGCGTCAGATAATGACTTTTATGTAGTTATGTAACTCCCTGCTCTAGTCTTTTGTTGGAAATGTTTTCTTGGAGTAAAAGATGAACAAATATCCCATAGCTTAAAAAAAACCTTAAAAATATTCCTCCATGAACAAACCCCAAGCTTGAAATAACAATGCTGGATCTAATTCAAGCTGTGCAAATTCAAGGACATTCACAGGACAATCTCACAAAACCAAAACATAATATTACCAAAATTGGGAAGTTAATTTTGGTAAACCCCACCATTTTTAAAATCAAGCATGCGCATAGACAGAACAAAAAACTACGGGCATAGTAATGTCGGGTTGTCACACAATTTAAACTACTCAATTTCAGATACAATATTTGTTATTCACCTGTTTAAATTTTGTCAATACCGTTTTGGTGAGTGGTAATAATTTTGAACGCTTCTGAACACAGTCAGCTGAACTTCTGTTATTGTCAGCCAAGTAAGTAATACCATAGACAAATAGAATAAATATAGACCGTCAGCTGTGCTGCGGTTAGCAGAAGTTTTGGCGTCCACCGCTAGGTTTGCTGTGTAGTTACGGCGCACACCGCTGCAGTGTCTGCTGGTCGCATACGGCTCCTGCGCTCCCTGCCTGCAGCGGTGTGCGTCGTAACCACACAGCAAACCCTAGCGATGGGCGCCGGAACCTTCCTTTGACAGTCTATATTTATTCTATTTGTCTATGGTAATACCAAGGTCCGACTGACTTTGTTTGGTAAACAAAAACATACATGAGACTTTTACATTACCTGTTACTGTGAGTCAAGAAACTAAGTAGAGTGATACAATAATGATGCCGGATTAAGTAACAGGTTGTTAGAGACTATTTCTATTTTCAAAAATTCACCCTAAACAATCACTTACCAACAGGTTGACTGTCGTAGGTTTGGACCTCAGCTTCTTGTAGAGAAGGAACCTCCGTTTGTTGACATTTTTCAACCTCTCCAACCTCTCCGCTCGTTTGTTTTGAGGAGTCCTAAAATCATCAAGTGTTACTGAAGCTAAACTATTAGGTTTCAAGCCAAGCAAAAAGGGATGTAGAAAGATGCACGATATGAAATCAAGTATACATTTATGTTAAATTTGCTAACAACATAAGGGTTTTTGGCAAAATATATGAAATAATGTTTAGGAGAATTGATATTAAAATGTTGAACGCAAAGATGTATAAAGATTGTTGGATGTATTATCGTTTTAGTTTAAAACTATACAAAAAGAGTGAACTTGTGTTTTCTAATGTAGAAATATTTTTGCAAGTGTACAAGTCAGTTTCATGTACTGTCATGAAACCTAACATTTACAACAGACTGTCTTCAACATTGATTGTAAACACAAATTTTATGCTTTATATATATATATTTTTTTACACTAATAAATCACCAATTGATCATTTGAGGTGATTTGATTCGTGAAAATAAATTAAAATGAAGCCATGATACACACTACTATCAAATTTAAATCTTCTGCAATTCACAGATCAAGTGAAGTTGCAACTATATTTCATAAAATTGAAATTACGCACAAGCAATAACCACAGCATCAATTACTTTGCATTCTGCTGTACTTAAAATGAGTGAATCTTAATTACACTAACTATCACAAGCTTCATTTAAATGTCCTGCAACTATATTTTGCAAGAAAACAGTAATGAATATCTTAAGAGTTACAAATGTGTTGTACCATCACTAGACAGACAACAAATTAACAACGGACAATGAAGTAGAGTAATTTCTACCTGTATACGCTCCAGCTGTTCGCTCAGATCTTTGCTGAGATGCTGCTCATTCTGCAACTGCTGAGTAAGCTCCAGCTTACTATTGCTCTGTAACACATCAGAGCACGAGTGAAGCCGACACACTAGTACACTGACGTAGAAAATAGCAAGGTAGTAGTATTAAATCTGATTTATCAAGTAAACTGGCTCTTCTCCAAGACCCTCTAACTTCAGCTCAGTGGTTTTAGTGGTCACCAACTAACCAGAGGGTCATCAGTTCAATCCTGAGGCTCATTCATCCAGTCATCACTCATCATTAGGCTTGCTTTTGATAAATGAATTTAGCTAACAAAAAATCATCTGATCTTAAAGAGGTAGATTCTGGACGCAGATGTAATCTTCCTCAGGTAATTAATTACTAAGTGATGTTTTCTAACAAAATCATCTATATTAAAATGTGCCCTCAAGCAAATGTTTTTTTCCACGAACAAAAAAATCAAGCTCATTATTGATCTACTGCAGAAACCAGGCATGTTCAAAATATCACAAATTGCATTTATTTTTGGAATCTTGAGAAATAGACTCGGCTTTTTACTGTAAGAACCAGACATGTCCCATTATTACCTATAAAGGTGTAGAGTTATATTGAAATTTGTTCTAACTGCAGATAGTAGACATGTCCTGGACATGTTTTTTGTCCCTCCTGAGAAGTTAGATTTTTGGACATCTCTAGTTTCTGCAGTAGGCCATTTTTGTCAAAACATAACTGTTGTTAAAAACTATTTGATATCAACTCAACAATTAAACAAACCAGTTTCACTAAAGCTTCTTGAAGCTCTTCTAACTGCTTCTTCAGGTTATTGTTTTGTGCCACTGCCCGAGACGCTGCCACCTGCAACCAGTTAAAAAGTTGTTATGTTATGGATGTAACTTAAAGCACAAGGTGCCAAACTTTTAGGAAAAAAATATTCTCAATCATCGGGAAGGGATTACATTTGAATCAGGATTTTATCAGGAAGGGATAAAATTGCCAGCGAGTGGCGATGATGCCGTTTTCGCAATCGCGGGAGATATCGCCTGTATGGCGACTGACGATGATTTTGTATCCGCGGTTGCGAGAGAAGTTAACGATAGTTCCACAAACATAGGAGGGGTTGATAATGTATCCTTAATCGCGGGAGTTTTAAGGTGGTACCGTGAACGTGGGACATGTCATCAAAGACGCCGTGACCACGAGACAAGTTTACGATGGTGCCGAGACCACAAGACAAGTTTACGGTGGTGCCGGGACCACAAGACATATTGGCGATAGTGCCGTGAACACGGGACATGTCAATAAAGACGCCGAGACAGCAAGTTGATGATGTCGCCGTCACCGCGAGACATGTCGGCAACAGTCCTGTGAATGCAGGACATGTCAATGGCAACGAAGACGTCGAGCCAGCGAGTCATAATCCCAAATAAACTTCAACCCTGCCATCCCTAGCTTTTGGGATATTTTGGGAGTATAGGAGTTCAATGTGGCACAAGGAACACAAAACTTCAATAATTATTTTTTAAATTTGAAATATATCACTTATTTTCTTCATACGATTATGACCTTTAGAAAATAAATACACAAAAATTAAATACAAAATTGTCAGGAATTGACACGGGGGAAGACAATATTTTTTGGCTACAAACCCTTAAAGAGTCTCCCAGTATAACTACTGTGGTAGCTTCTCAGCAAAGCAACTCAAGGGAAAGTGCTCTAACTACAACTATGACATCCAGAAACAGTGTGAGGCAAAAGCAGCCCTGGCCACATTCCCTTGCAAGTGGTTCAGCTCTTGGACTGCGCTCTAGTTAGTTACCTTGTCACTCTCGATGGCAGCTTGCAGATTGGCAGAGTTGGGTCTCTCTGCCTCGAGTCGTTCGATCGTCACCTCCAGCTCCTGGATTCTGAGAGCTCGTTCTTGCAACCCTTCTCTTAGACAGTCCACCTCATTGCTCTACACACATCATCCACGATGAAATCTTACAATCAAATCATTTTACAACCCAATAAGCGATGACATAAAAACCCAATAGTTAATAAAAACATTTTTTCTTTGATTTGGAAAACAACAACGCCAGATGTTTAATGTGCATAGCAAGCAGTCTTTTATACGAATTTACTTTAAATTAGATTAAATTTCTGTGAAGCCAACTTTCAAAGGTTCACATTTAAGGCAAAGATGTAAAGGATGTATGTTGGATAAATGAGATTTTAAATTTGGATCAGCTGTAATAAATAGCTTATTTTCAAAATTTTATGTTTTTCAACGGTTCCACCATTTACAATATAAAAGTTGATAACAATACAAAACAGCAAGAATTCAAATAAATAAAAGGCAATAAATGTGAGCAACAAATTAATAACAGTGATTACTTCGGACGGTAGCCAACATACACTAGTAATTCCAACACAATAGGGTTTGAAAATATATATTTCTCCGTAGCTCCACTTGTAGCTTATAAACGAATGTTGAAAACGTGTTAATCGCTAACTTAAGTTGAGTATTATTGCTGGCCAAGATGTTATTTGAAAGATTTTTCATACTCTAAATTTATATTTTTAAATATATTGTCTTTGCAATTAACTGCAATCTTTACTTTTTCATTGTTTCATGACCATGTCCATTTTTGCAAAGTCGGTTATTTGAAGTTTTAATCTAAATTTTTGTACCTTGTGTGCAAGCTGTGCCTTTAGATCTTCAGATGTGTTGATTGTGAGTGCCAGTTGGTCCTTGAGTTCTCGCAAGGCTGGGTCCTCGCTCGGATGAGGAGCTCGATTCAGCTGGCGCTCTAGTTCGCTCACTTGCTGTACTAGCTGTTGCTCTCTCGTCATTAACTGCTCAATTCGGTCTTTGCTGGCTTCCTCCTGCAGGACAAACAGGTTCATTAGTAAAATCAGTTGTTGACTGTAGCACATGGTAAACACTATGGGGGAGGGGTTTCCATCTGAAGGAAAGGTCTTCAACCTTATTTTAAACCCTAGTTATTGCAGAAAAAGTACATAATGTTATGCTAAGTCCCAAATTTGATATTTTGGTTAAAAAAAGCGTAGTGTAACAATTGAAATTCTTTCATAACGTTACACAACTTTATTTTCAGGCATAAACTTGATATTCCTGGCATAATTTTTTAATGTTATTTTTTTGTGGTTGAAAAAATTGCATCAAAGCAAATATTTAAAGCAATTGCAAAGGGAACAACGCTCGTCCAGGATGTTGGCAAGCTAAGAAATTGATTGGAGGATACGACGCAACTGAGACCATAATCCGGCTGAATACGAACTGTTTCAGAATGTTAACAGGTTTTCCAACTGGACATGTAGGCTTAGAGTCATCTCCAAAAAACGATCATCGTTCAGGAAAGTGACTGCCGATTCTGTCAATCAGGTGAAGAAACACCTAGACATCTATTGGCTGAATGTGATGCAGTTTGGCAAAAAAAAAAACCAAGAGCTTAGGAATGCACCAAGTAGCAGTTGGAGATTTTCCACAGTTAGAACCCCACCTGATGCTGAACCAGGGCATAAAATAACATGTTAACTGGGCGACACAAGTGTCACCCAGTCCTGAGATTTTGTCGCCCAGTGACTATGGGTGTTGCCGGCATAATTTTTTTTTATGATCCACATTTTAAATTTATCGGAATTTAAAAAGTAACATTATGTAAATATTTTAGAGTAGGGTATTGAGGTATGATTTTGGCCCAAGAGGTTGTGAAGTGAGCCTTTGCCTGTTACAACGTTCTAGAATACGTAATTAAGTGAGATCATATGGACTATTTGCAAGCAAATATAATAGAACAATCCATTAAAACATACGTAGAAATGTGTGATTTTCACTTTAATTTATGCAAAAATTCCAGGGGGAACCCTCGGACCCCCCTTTTTAATGGGGGTATTCCCCCAGACCCCCCGGTAAGTCCGGCGCCACTGTCGCCCAGTGGAAATCCCTTAAAATATGCTCTGTGCTGAACTTCATTAAGGAGTTAGGATTGGAAGGGGTTCTCTAGGCAAAGACTGGAGACTAGTTTGGGGGACACAATAGATCTTATAGGCCACCATGTAATTTCCCCTCCAGATATCATCAGTATCAGTATCAGTAATTCAGTATCAGTAATTCAGTATCAAAGGGAAAGTGTATGTTTGTTCCATTTAAACATTACTTTGATATTTTAAGGTGCCTACTCGTGTTACAAGAATGTACAATAGAGTCCAGCTTAACTAACTCTCTATGAACCGGGGCTTTTCTGTATAACAATGTCAATTATTTAGTTGCCAATGGATATGTTTTTGTTTTATTCTATGTGTTATAGCAACTGGTTTGAGTTGGAAATTAGAGACTCTGCGTAGAAACTTACTAGGGAAAGGGAAGAATCAATTGAATCCAAGCAATGTAGAGGTGACATAAGCTCATAAAAAAAAACTCTTATACAGACATAACAGTTTTTGAACAACGCTTGAAAACGATTTTAAAGTATTTCCAAGGTAATGTTTTTCACAGAGTATACAAATAACACCTCAGCTGAAAGCTTATTATGACACTTGCCGAGGTTTTGTGCAGCTGCAGTTCAAGCTGTAACTGCTCCACATAACGCTGGTAGTCTCGTACACTCTGCTCCTGTGTGGTGACGGCACTGGTCAGCTGAGCCTGTAGACTCTCCACTGTCCGAGACAGCTCAGTGTTCCTCACTTGCAGCTGATCAACAACGGAGCTGTCACTACCAACACCGCTCAGCTGATCAACAAACACAACAAATGTTACCTCCATCATCCGCTCAGCTGGTCAACAATCACTTTAACTACTGATGTCAGCTGTTGTTTTTAGGGTTGTATGTACTTTTTAATGCATGTAGAACTCACAATGTTGTATCTAGTGTTTGCACCTGACATTTTAATACTATTTAATCAAAATTAAAATTACCTTAAGTTAAAATTTAACCTTGCCCCCTCACCACGGATGAGAACTAAAATACAGTAGAACCCCTGTTAACCGAATTTGGGTTAAAAGAAAGCCAGGTTAACCAAAATGGTACTATAAAGTAATATAGGGCTGTAAAATGCTTTAATAACTTCAGTTGTCTGGTTTAAAGTATTTTATATCCCATTGTACCATTTTTGTGTAGCTGAAATAAACACTGAATTATATAGACATTCTCTTAAATTTCGGTTAAACGGGGTTCTACTGTAAACATAATTACAAATTGGGCAAAGTAAAATAATGAAGAATCAGCTTTTTGCAAATTAATTCTAGTGAGCAAAATGCCATTTATCATAAAATCTTCTATAGGAAAACGTTTCAAATCCCTCAAATTTGTTTGTGGATAAGTCAAGGGTCAAACCTGTCACTCTCATTATAATCCAAATGTTGCTGCTTGGCCACGCACCTAACAAGGTTAGAGACAGTTAACATGTTTTTGGGTCTACTCAGTAATAAGTATATGTAAGATACATGAAGGGGGATGCAAAGGAAATGTATAGCTTAAAAGAGACACTGAAATGTTTTTAATAAGTAGAGGTAGGAGTTTAAAATCATCCTATTTTACAAGGTCAAATAAGTTTGTATTGCATCATCTCACTTGTTGGATCCGAACTTCCGCCAAGCTAAGCTGTGAATTCTTCTCCATCAACTCTGCCTGAAGTACTGACACAGTTTGGTCCCTATTTTCCAGTTTACTCTGCAAATCGCTCACTTCCAATTCCAGATCCCCCACATGCTTTCTGAAAACACGTTTATCAAAATAATTTTTAAATTCTAAAATCGCTTGTTATATTAGTGTTGAAAGAAATTAATATACAAATTAAACTTACAAGGGTTAATTGTAAAGTTAATCTTGTAGGTTCAACAGAATTCCAACAATATATACCTTATTGTCTCGTTATTTTCTGTCACTGTGTGCAGTTTTGTAGTGAGTTGAGACACAGAGCTCTCTAGAGCCGCCGTTTGAGCTCGACAAGCAGCAAGATCACGCTCCAAGTCTGACACTCGATGGCGCGACGCTCTCAACCGCCCTTGCAAATCTTCTATCTCTCCTGTATGATAAACAATTCAAAATTCAACAAAGGTAAAACAAGAGAAAATATTTAGGTCTTAAAAGTATTTTTAATTTACAATTTGATTTCATAATGATAACAGTTTTGTGTTTTAAATTGTTTTCTTCCTCATTCAATGAGGGCAGCATACTTTTGCCTTTAACTATTTGTAATTAAATTTTGGTCTGAAACTCAAACCTACAATAATCTACATAGATTCACAAACCACATGCAATATTTTAACTTGTTTCTTTGATCTTAAAGAGACGTTAAAGGCACTTTAAACAAAATTGAGTTGGTTGGGTGAATTTTTGCCAAATGGTTTTACTGTAGTTCTTCAAATGGCTTTACTGGTTCTATTGCTGTATTCTGAACCATTGGTAACAAGAAAACAAACCTGGAAAATGGTCCAACTAAAAATTGTCTAATTGAAAAAAATGTGACACAACTTTTCTAGACCTAAATACATGTTACAAACAACCGTTACAATTTCTATAGTGACATATAAATATATGTGCACCAAAATCTGTTTCTTCAGTCTTGCAGTTGTTTTATTGAGATAAAATTAAGTTTGCAAACTCTATAGATGAATGGCATGAGTTTAATGAACTGTACCACATAGAATTCTAACATTCAGCATTCATAAAGTTTTTGGCATCACATCAAGCAATTATTAAATTCTTAAAGCTGTGTGTGTATGTAATAATTGTAGGCCACTTCAATAAAAACATCAACAACAGTTAACAAACCATTTTTGACATTAAGTTCTTCCTGTTTCTTGTCCAGGTTGTTTTGCAGCTCAGTTTTTTCCGATACCAAAATCTCAATTGCCTGAACATGGTGTTTTAACGTAGAACTGCCTTCGTCTGCCTTCTTCTTCATCTCTTCCAGATGTGTTTGGAGTTGGATGATGTGTGTTCTCTGCATCACAAAAACATATCACTGATTATCTAGGCGAAATAGTAGTATTTTAGTAAGTAGTAATAGTACTATTTTAATAGTTTTATATCACATCAAAGGTTTTAAATCACTGTCTTACTCATAGTATAATAGGTGTGTTGTAAAATTAACATTTTAAAATGCAGGCACTTTGGTCATAAAAATCATAAAAAAAGGTCTAACAGCCTTTGACACTGACCTGTTCACTGACTTGTTGCTCGAGCTCGCTGTTCCTAGAACAACTCTTCTGCAGATTCTGTTCCAACTCACTAACCACTTCTTCTCTGGTCGTGTCGTTCTTCAAACTCTTGATTGGAGAGACAGAGGCATCGGGGAAAGAATAGTTGGGTGTATCTTGGAACAGCCCTTCTGGAGTAGATGCATTGATGTGTGGAGGATTAAATCCCATCATGTTTAAAACTGGGAGAGGCATTTGTGCAACATCCCTTCTGAAGCTCAAACCTCCAGATGCTTCATAGCTCGTAGTCAGACTGTCAAAGAAATCTGAGGCTGATTTGTTTTTTGCGACGGGTAGTGTCTCTGAGAAAAGATTTTGAGGAGATGGCGATTGAAAATAGTTCCCAGAACCATTTGGTAGCGTGTTAAAAACGTTGGTAACATTAATAATATCAGGCTGTAAGTTTCCATTTATTATTTGAGAAGTCTCCGAAAGATTTTCAAGCGCAGGTAGTGGAGAATCAGTTCCCTATAAACAAATTATAATATTAAATAGCTGTAAAAATGTTTAAGTAGGGCTATATTAAAATATTGCTATGAATAACAGTTTTTTCTATTATCTTGACCCAACTCTAGGCTAATTTTATTGCATGCATTTGGTCAGTTTGGATAAGATTAATAATTAATGTAATACTATACCAAATATATGAGTTGGAGTTGAGATACAGTAGTTATACCTCCATAGCATATTTTATGTGACAACCTTCCTCTAATGAAAAAAAAAAATGTTGAGATACTTTATAAACAAACTTTTTTTTTCATTATGAATTTGTGAATATTACATTTATGCAATAGCAAAACTTAGCCAAAAGTTTTATAATTATTATGACATTTTTAGATATGCCTCTCTCTGTACAGGTGAATACGATGGGACTATATTAAACTTGTTAATAGTTAGTGTTTTTTAGAAAACCTTACTATCATAACAACATAGATTGTCATTTTATAAATGTTAGACTTTGGTACTAAAGTAACTGGTTCCAGGGCATAAAATAACATGTTAACTGGGTGACACAAGTGTCACCCAGTCCTGAGATTTTGTCGCCCAGTGACTATGGGTGTTGCCGGCATAATTTTTTTTGATGATCCACATTTTAAATTTATCGGAATTTAAAAAGTAACATTATGTAAATATTTTAGAGTAGGGTATTGAGGTATGATTTTGGCCCAAGAGGTTGTGAAGTGAGCCTTTGCCTGTTACAACGTTCTAGAATACGTAATTAAGTGAGATCATATGGACTATTTGCAAGCAAATATAATAGAACAATCCATTAAAACATACGTAGAAATGTGTGATTTTCACTTTAATTTATGCAAAAATTCCAGGGGGAACCCTCGGCCCCCCTTTTTAATGGGGGTATTCCCCCAGACCCCCCGGTAAGTCCGGCGCCACTGTCGCCCAGTGGAAATCCCTTAAAATATGCTCAGACTGGTTCTATTCCCACAATAACCACAAAATATTTGGGAGGTCTCTTTTAAAATGGCGGTTTTGCAAATGGACTGTCTCCAGATGATGATTTAAGTTTATCCTGTTGTTTGTTCTAATTTTGTATTAGCCTACTGTTTATTTTTTTATTGTTATAGTTGTTGCTCTTGAACTATGTTTGATTAAAACGGTAGAATTTTATATTAAGTTCAGATTAATTTTTAAGTAATTTCAAACAAAGATTCTTACCCTCTCCACCTGGGTAGCTGGAGCCAGCTAAAACTGCAAACTTGGCAAAGCTGAAGAGGCAAATTGAAGCCGAAACAGGAACAATGCAAAGTTAACAAGACTCGTGTTGCAGCAAGTTATGTTGTTTCGGCTTCAATTCGCCTCTTCATCTAAAGCCGGGTTTTCCTAGGCGCGGAGTCAGCGAGCGGAGAGAGGAACGCGGAGAGCGGACTCCACTTGTCTTAGGCAATTTAATGTTACTGTTTTCCTAGAAGCGGAGCGGAATGCCATGTTAATTTAAATTCCGCTCTCCGCGTTCCTCTCTCCGCTTCCGCGCCTAGGAAAACCCAGCTTAAGGAACTTTGACAACAGCAGTTTTTAGCCTTTTCAGCTACCTTAGGACAGGTAAGATGAGTGTAGGAAATCAAGTAAATTTGTAATTTCCCTTTTTACTATAAAAGAATTGGTCTTGTGTGCATCAATAAAAAAAACTTCACCAAGTAATTGTCTGGCTTACCATAGCCTGACCCTTAATGGACCAGTGAACACAGACATTAGATATACCGGTACCTAATAAAAATAACTGTTTAACTTTCTCTTTTGAAAAAATGTATGACACCATTCTATGCTTGAAGCTGTTGAATAAAGATATTTGTATTCTTGTATACTAATACAATCTAGACATTGAATTATTTTAATTAACATGAGTTTAGTTGCTCACACTGATGTTGGAACTGAAATTCTCACTCTGACAGAGACTGTTTGAAGAACCTCCATTTTCACTACGAAATAATTTCCCAATGCTATCTTCTTCTTCGCTTTTCTTTTTAGAAGGAGTGCTCCTTCCAGATTCACTTTGACTATCGCGGTTCTTTTGTTGAAACTGCCTCAGCTGAAATGTAAAAGTTGGCTTCAGACTTAAAGGTACCGGTATTTAAAACATTTTATAGACATATAGCCTACAATTTTTGTATATAATATGTAGTAGGCCACAAAGGTAGTTCAACAATTTTCATTGGGGCCAAGCAAGCTAGTTCTAATCCAACAACAGTGACGAGTTTTTTACCTAAGTTACTTCATATAGCCTATACTTCCCCACTAAGTATGAATCACGTTCTGCAACTAGGATTCTAATTTAATTTTTTTGTATTAGCCTAGTTGTTGGTTTCAGGTTTTTTAAACATTTTAGTAAAATATGGCCCATTTCCCCCAGTTTGTACAAGTCAGAATAACTGAGAAAATCTTTAAATAAACATTTTTGTGAACTGGAATTTCTTAAACTGTAGCCTAAGTAAAACTGACAATCTTTGCATGGACCCATCAGCTTGTTGTTAGTAACCCTATTTTGCAACCAGGCCTAAGTTACCTTATTGTTAATCATTAAATCAAATAAGTTATAGGCTAAAGACTAGTCAACTTTTAACTTTAGGAATATGGGCAGGATGAATTCACAAAAGTCTATAATGGCAAAAAGTAAATTCTCTAATTTCTTTAGAACAACTCAGGTACAGTAGGTCACTTTGTTAACCTAGGCAGTTTTTAATCAGTTATCTGCTCAGCAATTATGTAGGCTACAGTAAATTTCTGTTTCGTTGTTAAGAGGTGCTCTATATTTTTAAGATAAAAAGTTTTAATACAGGTATTCATAGTTCCCAAACAAAGAGCAAAGTGCAATAACTTATGACCAAGTGAAATATCTCAACAGCAAAATATAACTATACAGTGTTTGATTGTTGTGCTTGTGACAATTCCGACTCCGAGGATCCAACTAACAATCCACTTGGTGCTGAGACTAAGACTACAAAATATGGTAGTAGATATGTAACTGAACAGTTTGTTTAGAACTTCTTGTGTCATTTATTGTTTAATAGCCTATTGTTACAAATCTTGGGTTAACCTATGTTATATTGGGTTCTGGCCATCTGAGAGAAAATTTATACTTGACCATTTTTTTTTCAAAAGGCAATCTGAATCATATTTTTACAATCATTGGTTTATTTTCAAGAAGGAGGGATGATGTAAAAGATATGCTTTATTACCTTCTTTTTCGCTGAGGCAAGTTTCTCGGCCCTTCTCAATTCTGCCATGTTGGAAGTGATGTGGTCGTAATGGTGTGGGATGGACAGAAGCAGACAGAAGGAACTTGTATTGTCAATATTTTGACAGACGTAGGCAGTATGAAGCAGTTTGACAGTAGAGTCAGCTGGCTGTGTTTTTCATCAGCTTTGTCAAGCCAAGTTTCTTCGAATGAGGCCTGATCTGACAAATGGCATTTAAGACTATTGATTATGGAATCTAGCTAGATTTCCACTAATCATTCCGTTATGACTTTTCACTTAAGATTGAGTAGAGCCTATGAACTATTTTGTATATATTTTCATAAAAAAAATAAATATTATAGCTTTTACCCACTATTTTAGAAGGTATCTATTTAAAATCAGGGTCCGAATAATTCCCCCCCCATATCATCATGGCGTTTTATAAAATTTACCATCCGGTATCTTCTCCACAATCCAGGGACCGGGGAATCGTCACATTTCTTCCTGGGACCAGGGTAAAAATGGGTTTTATAGGCCTATTCATGTCTCAGGTGTTGGAAGGTGTGCTCTTCAATGAATTCGGTGACTGTGTAGTATAGCCTATCTGGTGCTTCAGTTTGCTATTGAAGGTGGCAGGTTTTCAATGGTTTTGAGTTGTGATTGTGGATCCCCAGGTGGCAACTCCATAACGTAAATTTGAATAAAATATTGAGGCTATTTAATGCTCTGTGTTCATTGGTGATGGCTAATACTTCGTACAACGTGGTGTGCTTATTCTAATTTCCCACAGAGGTAGTCAAGACATGGTCCTGCCAGCTGAGATTTTGGTCAACATTTATTCCAAGGAACTTAGGGCGATATTTAAGGGTATGCTGAAGTATTAGTAAATTCCAAATAAGAATTTTAGTTCGCATGTTTTCTGTTGTTTCACTAAGTGATGAGATTGATTTTGATACATTTTGCATTTAAATAGTATGTCTATAATAAATAGTGGTGTTGGTGTACAGTAAACAATGATTGTCTAAAACCACCAAAGACATAAATACAGGAATCCCACTAAACAATGATCCCTCAAACTCTTGGGAATTTAATAATAATATTTAAAAATTAACAGCCCGTCTATCCTCAGCATTTTAATTCCTTTAATTGTATAAATATTGAGTTATTTTTAGCTAGTTTGCCTCAACATTGTTCACTGATAGATACTGACTGGGGTACCGCTTTCAGGATGTCTCCATTTTTTTTTACCACACTGGAGAAATACTGTATTACGATTTGCAGCCAATCAGTGTCAGAAGGAGATGTTACGATCTGCAGTGTTACCTCTTCAAACTTGTGATAATGCCCCCCCCCCCACGTGAATGGTAAAATACTTCATTGGCTCACATTGAGCTCATTTATAGTACGATCAACTTTATACTGTAGCAAACTCTTTTGACACCAAAAACCTCAAAATAGTCAAAATCTCTGGGCCTAGGAGGAGTTATGTTCACAAAATAACACCTTCCAAATTAAATGTATAGGTGATATCGTTATATATATTTTAGTATTGTAAAACAAGAGAATTAAAGGCATTACTTAAACACCAACACAGGATTTATTAATATTAGCATAATAAAGCATACTCCCTTTAGTGTTTGATACTATCATAAATAATAAATAAAAAATAATCATAGACTAACCATGTAGCTTATTAATGTCACGATAAATTCCAATGTAGTTTATTAAGATACATACGTACAGTACATACATTATATTAAGTATAACTTTAATATATTATGTTCTATCTATGTTCTCAATATCAGCATAAATAAAACATACTCCTTGGATAGTCAATGATATCATGTAGTCGTTTCTCCATGGCTGTTTGACCGCTGTTAGTTACAGAACTATCCGCTAGATCTCAGGAGTATCTCAATTCAAATTATTTACTTAAAACTTTATGATAAAACTTTACAAAACATGTTTATAAGAAATGATTTAAATAATTTAAATCAATCATAGTCTTTAAAATAATATTTTCACTGCCTTTTTACTACAATTCATGCAAAATAGAGTAATTCCATCTTGTCCAATGTTTAATAAGTTAATTGATTACTGTGGGAAGTTGGACGAAATCATGTTAAAATTTGTCTAGAAAAATATATATTAATAAAACCAAGCAATAAAATGTGTCTGGAACATAAGAAAATAAATAGTAAAGGGACCATTTCCTCTACGGAATAACAATGTATCTTAATTTCTATCTTCTTCCATCCCTCCCTATACATATATCGATCGATCTTGTTTATTTTTTGTTATAATAATGACGATCGTAATTGAATACACTTAAATACGTCCACGAAGTATGTAGTATCATAGATAAAACATACTCCCTTAGTAGATTTCTCATCCTTATGGAACAGCTGAAGCCAGTTTTATTATTGGTTCTGTACGGTTTTCTGTAGATGTCGTGTTTTGTTTACAATTTGTTTCCCGTTATCACAGCCATTTTAAACCTCGTTTAACCAAATAATACGATCTAATCATAAACAATAACTTGTCCCCTAGTTATATAACCAAACAGTAAAGCACAAATCAAGAAATTAACCCTAAAATAATGGAAACAAAGTTTCATCGACACTAGCGCCTTTGTGTTACTTACATGAACTAGACACGAAAAGCGTGCTTCAAAATTTACAATGGGATGACAAGTCTACTTGTGTTGGTTAGTCTATGGTAGTATGTACAACTGATTTGATTTGAACAATACACAGCTAAAGGTAATTATTTTTGTGTGGGTTGGTAGCCATGTTTGAATATTCCAGCAATCGAGTCGTAGCTCGTAGTTCACAGTTTCACCGCAGGACAGAGTAGGGATAGCGCTACAGTCATCTCTTTTTAAATGGCGAAGGCCGCTCAGTGATTGGTTGGTAAGTAGGCCGTGACGTCATCAGAACGGAAACTTACTTATATGGCTAGTGTTGACATCAGCGGCCATTCTGGTTTACGCTGCCGTGCAGGTTAGACGTGTGGATGTGCTTCGAAGTGAGATAGTAGTGGTGCTCAAGGATATACTTCGTATTTAGTGCTTTGTGTTGTTGATATTAGTTATGAGTTGACGATTTGACTCTTAACTACCATCGAAAATTGTGAACTGTGTTATATGACTATTTGTGAAGTTTGTTAGTATTTTGTGTGAATCAAGCTTCAGACTCGTGGACACTATGGCAACCGATGCCCAGAGATTGATAACCATATCTCTTACAAAAATCGCCCAGTCTCGCTCTCAGCGTGGTGGTGTCAGTCTACACAAAAATCTTCTAGTGGCAACAGTTCTTCAGAAGGCGAGGTTCATGTTCATGGAGGAAGCTTTCAACATGGTAAACAGCCCGACCACATCTGTTGGAGGTTACTCTGCCAGCACACCAGAGGTACAAGAATACAACTATATCGATGACGACAACCTGGTAGCCTTGACAGCAGAGGAAGCTGGGGTAAATGCTTCATCTTCACAGCCATCTTCAGAAGTAGAATCTGCTTCAGGTGACCTCGGTTTTTTACAATCACCCATTACTTATATAAGATGTCCTGATGCTTTAGAAGCAAACAAGGAGAATCATGCTCCTTCGCCCTACTGTCCTCAAACGGGTGAAGCTCCAACTTATCTTGATCTTGACAAAGCCCCAAGGGAACAAAGTGTTGTTATCCTGAGAGAAAGAACACCCTGTTCATCTACAAGATGCTTGAAGAGGAGAAGAGCTGTCGCCGAGTGGGAGACTGAGGAAGCTGTTTTATCCATCTTACCCAAACGCCACAAGTCTGGGTTGGAAAGCGACAGCAGTAGTAGCAGCGATGACTCCGTTTTCCTGGACGACTCTACTCTTTTCTCCGATTGTGAAGATGTCAGCGATGGGGGATCGACTAACATGGAAATTGACAGAATTACGAGTTTGGTGTCCATCTTCAGCTTTGGTGGACTGAGCGGTGCAACCAGTGGTAGTGTGACAGACCTTAGTTCGAGCACAGGCTTGGGTAAGCTCACGAGATCAACTTCCACACCAGACCTCTGTTCGGCACAGGCCAAAGAAAGTGTGGATGCGTTACAGCAAAGACCTTTCCTTGCCATGACCGTGTAAATTTTTGTACTATATTCAACTGTATCATATGTAACTTTTAAATGTTATGTTTATAGATAAATGGCCTCTAAGGTCAGTCATTCTTTAAGTTTATACTTAGTAATTTTTAATTGCACAAACTTTAAAATCTTTTCCTGCAGGCGAAGGCAAAAGAGCGATTATTGTGCCCTTTACGGAATATACTGACATGACCATTGTAACTTTAGCCCAATTGATTTATTAAAAGAATTTAATAGGCCTAACTTGATGATTTTTTTATATTTATTGGTCAGATAGGCCTATTCAGAACTCTGGATTTTGAAGATTGCTTTTAGTTAATCTTTATTAATGGAATAGGAATAATGTTTTACTGAGGGTTGTAACGCCTACTGCAATGCTACGTTTAATGTTTCCCGATTGTTTTTAAAGTATCAAGGCTCACTAGCCTTAGTTTATAGGCTACTTGGCCTCTTAAATTCTGTATACAAATTGATATTTTATCTTGAGTTCCATTTAATTTACTTTAAGGTAGCCTAGATGAATATTTTTGGGGTAAGTTATTTATTTCTTAGTTTTCTCATGCTAAAGATTGACTGGCCACTGAAGTTACCAATAGGCCTTTATTTTATTAAACGTTAGAATATTTTTCTATTCTGGTATTTTGCCAATGTGATATAGTAGAAATGTTTATTACATGCACACATTTTATATTACTCAGATTGTGTTACTTGTGGATAAGCTGTATATATCTTGTTGGATTAATCAAAGTGTATAACATGGTGTACTGCTAGGACAGTCTACCAAATCTGTAGGCCTAACTGGTGGCTCTGTTCATGAAATTTGCGGTTTTAGTAGTCATTTGCTGATGTTGCCAATTATATTTTCGTTAACTTAGATTTTCCAAATCTAGTTGAATTGGTGGCCTTTGCGATTAACTATTGAATGTTGTTATAAATTTGTTTTACACAACAAGTCTAGAGTCTGTTAATAGTTACTTTGTGCACCAAGTACTTTTTTATTTTGACAAATTTTACACCTAGAGGTTTTATAGTTCTGTATTTTATCATATTTATTGTTCTTAAATTCTTTAGCAATGTTTAAAGTGGATTTTTCAACAATTATCTGCTAGACATTTATTTTTTTTACTTGTGTTCATGAGCACAATTTTGTATAAAGTACCAGCTCTGTTTTAAGAGTCTGTTGTGTATTTTGTAATATATGATTTGCTATATGAAAATAAAACAGATTTATATGAATTTGATTTTTTAATTACACCTAACTGGCAAGTGTTCTATAAGTCATGTGTTCTGTGAGAGAATGGTCACTAAACTCAGGTCAATCTTAAAAGAAGATTTTAAAAAATACAGAATTTTATGTAATTTTGTTATGCAATAACTCGAATTAACAGTTTTATTTTGTTCTTTGCTTAACTTAAAACTGCAGCTAATAGAATTGTTATGTTCAATTTCAACACGTTTTTCAATTAGGTAACCAATTTTTTATATGCTCCTAATACTGAGCAGTTTCAGAGTGACTTGTTTTTTAACACTTTTCAAGAAGGTTTGAAGTTAAATTATGAAACGAGGAGCAAAGTGTCTTGAAAAGGTTTATTTACTTCCCAATTGATTGGGACTGATGGTGGTATTAGATGTAATGACTGCCAAGACTTACTTCTGGTACAGTATGCCTATATTCTTTGTAGTTTGCACAATTTCCAAATAGTAGATTCACTGTGACTCTGGAGGTGTCTGTTATCATGAAACTCAAATTTCAGAACATCAATGCTGAGAACTTCACATCTAGAATCTTTGATGACTGCCTAGACATTGAGGGTACTTATCTTGGTAAAGGTGGTTTTGTTTTAAGTTGTAACTTTTTTGCAAACGAATCTTATTATCATTAAGGTGACTTAGTTATGTAATTGCCAACAATGTGTCAAATCTTAGGGAAATGGGCCCATTCAACTTTTAAAAACACATTCTCTGTAACACATTAAAAATCTGTTCTTTATTTTATTCCTCTGTTCAGGTAGGCCTACAATACAACATTAAAAGTTAACTTGAACATGAGCTAGTGATGGACACTGTTGACACTAGCTAACAAAGAGAATTTTGATAACACTTAGCCAACAATAAACATCAATAATAAACAAATTAAAGCACAATTAGGTTACACAGATTGAGATGTATAATGTCTATTAACCAGAATTTTCCAAGCAATAATTGGATTTAAAAAAACTGTTTATGTGAAGCACTTTAAAAGTTGTAGCCTATCTTTGATAAATTTTAAGTCGAATTTTTAAACTGCACCAAAATATGTGGCAGAGGGTACTAATTATTATAAATTCAAATCAATAATTTTATAGGAATTTTTAACTACTGCAGTATTTTATTTAACAATTAATTGAATACGGTAACGAGTTTCAAGTTATACTGTGGTTCAACAGATTTACTTGAAATTGAATTGTCTTTTCATTTTTTATTGTAGCTTGTAGCAATTGCTTTTGAAACAGTTTTATGGTAGTTGATCATAAAATAATTCGCTCAGCCTTAAGATTTGAAATGGTCAGAAAATGTTGGAAGCGTCTGGTGTTTTTTTCTAAGGTGTTTATGTTGGTTAGTATAATAATAATAATATAATATATAATTATGTACCAACATTATCATTCAACCGCATGTATGAAAACTTTTACTTAATAATAATCATAATTGGGGTGGGTAGTAAGAGAAAAAAGGGGTAATAAGAGAACCACTAATTTGTATATCTAAATGAGTAAAATAATGAAAAAATCATGCAATAAGTGGTCCAAATGGGGAATTTGAAAGCTCTATGGTTTTTTTTTAATTTATGAAAAAATAAATCTTATATTACCCCACAGACTTCTGTTACCCCAAGTGTTGAGGCTGTAATTTTCTTTTTTGAAAGTATTTTGAAGTTTGTGGGGTATCAAGAGAAACCTTATATTAAGACCAGCTTAAAGGGGAAAATTGTTAAAAAATGACAACTTGTTAAAAAGTTATTAAAAATTGAATATTAGGCTGTCAAAATTAGTGCGGAAAATTACACAAATGAGGATTTCTTGAATGGTAAATACTGTAAGCTAGAACACCCAAATTTTAAGTTTTACCCTCTTATGACATGAATGGAAAAGAAACTCTATTAACTAACAAAAAAATTAAAATTAGCAGCTTAACTTACTTTTTTCATTAGTTTATATTGAAACAAAAACTGACACTTTGTATGATACTTCAAAAAAGTTCAAGTTAAGGGTCATTTTTGCTCACATTATGATGGTACATATTTTAATAATTCTTGCTTACACATCCACTCCACTAACACCGTATATCTCTTGATGGTTAATACAAATTTTATTATTTTCAAAAATTTATTTTGGTTTTATTTTGTGTTAACTGTTGTTGTAATGTGTCAAGGATCGAAACTAAAAACAAAAATGTTAACTTGTACTACATAAATGTCTTTACATGTACTTTTAAAACTTTCAATGAGAAAAAAATCAACAGAGTAGAATAAATACTTGTAAAATTAAGAGAAAAAACATATAAAATGAGTTTATCGGTCACTTCTCTTATCACAGCATACAAACACTGTGGGGTAATAAGAGAATTGTTAGTAATTATTTTAAAATAAATTAACGTGGCTAACGACTTCTTCCATATCTTCTTTAAAACTTGAATATTTTTCTTCTTTGTAGTTCATAATACTTGAATCTGAAAAAACATGAGAATTCATTTTGAAACAACTCTTTACAAAAAATAAATATATTTGAGAGGCTTGCCGAACTCAAACTACTAAAAACTATTTTTTATACATTTTTATTACACTTATTTTTTTTTATTTTTTTTCTCTCATTACCCCAGCTTCCCCTATAGGATATTATTTTCTATTGCCTCGAAACAGAATAACAGGTCAGATAATACTCAAGGTATTGTCAAACTGAGGATACTCATGTACATGTCATAGTAAACAGCTCTTTGCTAAAATCTCACTGACTGGTTTGGCAAGGTCGATTGTGTGGATAAATAGGGTTGTTTGTGGCGTGGCTGCGACGTTATGTTTCGCTATGTTCTTTCAAAAGGTAGAGGGGAGAGATCGATAGGATGCGCGAGAGTAACTCCCTCCACTACCCGCCAAGTGGAGAGTTTTGGCGCCAAGACCTACCCCAACAGAGCTACAGAGCTGCCAACCTAACGGCGTGTATGCAGAATGCACAATGCAGCGTTCTACGCGCCGTTCACTACTCACTCAGTACAGTACTCACTACTTCACTAGATAGCCGCCAAGGTTCACTTTACGTTCTGTGTACCTGTTCAACCTTCTTACAAGGTAGTTAGAAAACGTTGTTACGATAAATTGCTTTCATGGAGAAAACTAGCATTTTTTGCAGAAATCTCAGAAAATAATGTAAAAAAATAATATTTTTGTCAATACATGCAAAGTGATGTTGCGGTATCTTTCATTCGTACCGATCTAAACTTACGGATGGAATTAATATTCGATGGTACTGTAAATATTTTATTTGTAGGCTGGTAGATTAAAATTACCATCTAAAAATCTGAACCTAAAAGGGGGTTTTAATAATAAAGGCTGCGTTTCTATACCATTTCAAATAACAATCCTAATGCTAGTGGTATAGCGTACATGTAACAATCCTAATGCTAATGGTATGGCGTACATGTTAACATTTAAAGTATCTGGAGGCATAAGATTCAACTATATTGTGTCTCCTTATATTTTGCGTTCTGTACAATACTAATAAACATTCTACCGAAACTAAGATAAAAACAATACACCACAATTAATTATCGTGTGCATTTCAGCAATATGTAATCAGACTATCACCCATGAATGAAATCTTCATTTCCTTTTATATTATTTAATATATTTTATGGAACAATTACAATCTCGTTTACAATAACATTACACGATTGATCTAATAAGATCAGTATAATAATCGATTCATCTCTATGATCACAACTAATGCTGCATAGATAATCTCAACCCATTCTACACTACACACACTTCTGCAGTCATATTCAGCATACGCCAATGAAGTACATAGCTCAGAGTGAAGTGACTAACTGAAAATGAGTTGGAGTTGTGTGTTGAGTTTTGTAGTTTACTTATTTTGGAACTTAGATTTGTGTACTTTGAAATCAAACAATGATCATTTTTCGTGACGATTGCATCGAGATTCTGCAATCACGGAATGCAAGCCTGTTGAAGGTACAATTCGCAAAGGAGCTGACCGTTGCGTTGCAATGTACCGAGGTCTTTGACCTGGTGCTGATGACGTCACTTCGCCCACCACCACTGCTCACCTGAGCGCTGTAGTCGCCAGTGCGAGTGCTGCCAACGTTCGCCTCAACAGACGTGAAATTCTTCCAGCAGATCATATACATAAAGAGAAATCATTGCCTATACGGTATTGCGATTCTGCATTGACTTAGGAACCACGTTACCTACCTACATTGACGTTGATCTGCTGTATTTATCTAATGCAGTCGGTTGTGCTTACAGACTCTCTGAAAGTCAGTCGCTGAGTTGCTTTATGAATGTTCCTCACTGGACCCAGCTGCTGTCCTCGTTCAAATGAGGAGACACAGCTGATCTTAGTCAGTAACATAGCTACACAGATCGTCCACTCCATTCTACATTTTATATTATGTCAGCTGAAAGTTCTTTCTTACACAATATAACGTAGATGTCTTAGGCCTCTTTTATGCACGGCGTTTTCGGTCGGGCGAAATCGTCGGGCGGAATCGATGTCCCTTTTATGCAGTTTCTCCGCCGAGCGGAATCCGCTGATGCCCGTGGTGGGGGTTGTCAGTGCTACCAACTTCGTTCATTTTGCCATCGTCAGTGACCCAAGATGGATCCTTGTGTATTGGTGTATACTTATTTGTACATGAAGAGAAATAGACGACGGCGAAGGAGATGGGCTGTACACCCGGTTAATGAAAGTCGTAGGGTGGATGGGGCTTTCACAAACCTATATGGGTTGCTGCGAAATGATGGGGAAAAGTTTGAGAAGTTCCTACGAAACAGTAAGTTTGTATTATTCCGCGGATTTAAACAAAAATGTAATTGATTCTCATGCAGTAAATTTTTCCCTAATTACACCACTTTATTTGTAGCCTACTCTTCAATCAATTACAATGAATTATGATATTCTATTTACAATGATTACCGAAAGTGATTTCAATACTGTGGATGACAGAGCGTGGGGTAGGTTGGC